TATGGTATAGATAAGCATAAATACTTTGTTTCACCAGCACAACTAAGGACAAACTTACACAGTCCATGATGGGAGTAATGGCAATGTCATACACTGTAGATCATGAGACATTTTGTTACAGCAATCTGTTCACAACAGTTTGTTCCACATAAAAAAATGAAAAATAAAACAAAAACTGGTGGATTCCCAACACCTCAGAGACTGTCACAGCACAAATCACAAAAGGAGAATGGGCATGTTTTGGTGGGGAGATAAGGAGAATGATATTGAAGCGCCATTTTTTTGCTTGGGTTAGGGTGTGGGCACTTCCAATGAAATCTGCACTAAAGCTGGTAGATCTGCAGGCAAACCTATGTCAGGGGCTGTTGTGCCCTCTTTCCCCCCACCCACTCACCCACTCACCCACTCACACATGTAATTGTGCACCATAAGAGGAAAAATGAAACAAGACACACACAACTCATCTTCCTTAGATCCTTCACTGGCATTCAATAAACTCACAGAGCCCCACCCAACCACCCACAAGGAGGAGCAGCTGTAGGGGGGGGGGGGGCACACTGTAAAGATATGGGAGAGTGGTGTGCTTTGTTGCTTCCAAGGCAAAGTGATGGTGTGTGTGTGGGGTGCAGACACTGTGGGCTGTGTTGGAAATTGTGGAGTACGTGCAGAGTTTTATGTTATGGACAAACCAACTGGGGCCCTGGCAGTGACAGACACCTTGGGATGGAGGGAGAGAGGGAGGGAGGAAGAAAATTGAGAGAGAGCAAGAAAAAAGTTTTCGCTTGCCACTTGTCCTCCTCTACTCTGCTCTGCTCTAAGTTATGCTCTCTTCTTCCCTGTAGTCACTACTACTAGTCAGGAGGTGCCTTTGCCATGTTCTAACTGCCTTTCGTTGTCCCCACCCCCACTCATTGAATTAGGAATATATACATTTATATATATAGATAGATGTATTCCTAGAGAGGGATGGAGAAGATTTTGGATTCCCTACTCCAAATATAAGCTTGACATTCATTTCTGATCATCTAAAGGTATAATTTTTAGCCTTACATGACCCCGTGACTAACACCAATAATTAATGTTACTTTTCTGGAAATATTGTATCCAGTACCAAATAATAAAATCATCAACAATAACAATTCACCAAAACAGAGCCAGCATTTTTAAATTAACATGCATGGGTATCCTACCATGATGCATCCTCATTGCTACAAGTCACCCTTTATCATCACCAAAAGCCCCCTAGGCAGTATAAAGTCTGATTAAACTATTCTTGAGGGTCAAGGGATCAGCACAATTCAATTTGCTTTATCCCCCTCAAACTTAGAATATAACTGAGAATGACATTGAATGTTTCAGTAACTCTTGAACTAGCAACAGAATACAAGATCTGTTCACAATGCTATATATGCAAATTCATGATTGTTTGTAGCCCAATTCAATTAGGCATTCATCTTCAAAATTTACATCTGACTCCAAAAGAAGAGCACAAATTGTATATTCTCAGAAATTCCATCATCAACATTGCTTCTACTGACTTTATTTGTATGTATTTATGCGTATATAGATACATATATCTATCCCTCTCAGAATACAAGAAATAAGGTGTTTTGCAATATGTTACAAAGTTTCAGTTTTTCCAGGTGTATGTACGTATGCATGCCCACTACTGTGTAATCAACTATTTTTATTTTATTTGAAAATGTTTTCAATGAGTTGTTATTTGGCTCTTATTTTGTTTTGTTTTGTTTTTTTTTTTTGTATTTTTTCATATTTGTAACATATTTCAAAACACTATACTGTTTTAGCACCCATAATTAAAATATAGTGTTTTGAAATATGTTACAAAGATGAGCAGTAATTTAATTATGGGTGCTAAAACAAATAACTAGGTGTGGGTGAAACTACACACACACACTGGGGTGGAGGAGAGGAGTTGAAAGTCTACCCCAACTCCATTGCCTTGAAACCCACATAGCACTGATAGAAGCTTATTTATTTTTGCAGACCCCTCACGGACGAGCAGTCTGAGGGGCCCTGTCATGTAGCAGCAACTACAGCTGATCTGAGATATGGATTTGGATTCTTAGTTTAAATAGAACTGGGGGAGGAAAACAAAGGTACAGACTTGGATGCTGCTCACAACATAACAACCAACATTACATTTATAATAGTGCCCCCCCCCCCCTTCTGCTGCTGCTGCTGCTGCTCATCTTTTCATGAATGAACAAAACTTGACCCATTGGTTCACACACCTAGTTTGAATAGTTGATACACAGTGCAATGGATGCATTTATCATTATCATCATCAACTGTAGCAGCTATGCAGCAAATTCGTTGTTGCCAAACCCCAACCCTCTTTCTCTTTCTTCCTTGCTCCCATGCAACCAACCAACCAACCAACCAACCAATTGTGTGTGAGTGTGTATATGCGAGTGTGCATGTGTATATGACTGTGTATGTGTATATATATGAGTGTGTGTATATAAGTAAGCATGTGTATATATGTGTGTATGTGTATGTGTGCGTGTGTATGTGTATATGAATAAGCCTGTGTATGTGTGTAAGTGTATGTGTATATGAGTATGCATGTGTATATGTGTGTCTGTGTATATTATGCATATATATATATATATATATATATATACATGTGTGAGTGTATGTGTCATAGTTGTTGCTGTTGGCTCTTGCTCTGCTCCTTCAGCATCATGGATAGAGCCATGTGCTCAAATCTGATGAGTGTGAGTTGTCACTGGGTTTTCTACTTTTGTTTCTTGTTTATTTTTATATAGAAGTAGAAGAAAGCACTGGAAAGAGTGGGCCACCCTCCCTTGCCCCCAAAATGTACAGTATGCATTGTTAAACAGCATCCAATTTGCAAGCAATAATCAATGTTTCTATCTTGTATTATTAAGGTTTGATTTAAGAAACCACACACAAAGATCGCTTAGCTTTTACTCCCTGAATAAAACTAAAATACCTGTATGGGGGTAGTGGGATGGTTTGGGTTTGTTTGGATTAAGATGGGTGTTTCAAAATTGGAACTGCTGTGGTCAAGAAAGCACATTCTTCATGTTCTTAAAGGTTATGATTGTTCAACCACTTATTCAAGGAGAATAGTCTTCCATTGAGAACATTAAAAACTGGAGTCAATTATGAAGATTGCCCAGTTCAGATATTTGAGAATCAATCAGTCCTGGGGGAGATCCATGTGAGTGTGTGACTAAATGGACCTTCACCATTATAAATGTGCATCAAGCCATTTGTGAAAGCCACAAATATGGCATGGGGGGGGGAAGTTTAAACTGTTCCATTATAAACAATGCCAGTTACTGTAATGTTTTAGATTACATTGTTGTTTATAGTTTTTTTTTTTATATCATTTTTATCTTCTTTCTTTTATCTTTTTTAAAAACATTTCAGTCCTATATTCTGACTCAACATATTTGAAGTTCATCATTTTTAATCTTTATATATGTATATATATATAAAGATTAAAAATGATTAAAAAAGTATATATATATATATATATATATATGTGTGACAAAACAGCATAAATTGATGATTCACATCAAGGATTTTTTTTGAAAACTGATAATATGGGGAATATTCCTCTGCAATCTTGCTCAAGGAAAATGACACTGAGAAGGGAACAAGAGTGTGACATTTCATATATTCTATTTTCAATAAGAATTGTTACTTTATGAAGTACAATATTCCAATCCACCATCATGGTGAGCAACTGCCTATCCAGCCCATAAACGGGGGGAGGGGTTGCGGAATTTAGGAAGAGAAATAGGAACTATTCCCAAGGAGAGTTTTGGCTTTTAGTGGGGCCACCACCAAGTTTTGACGAGCCATAAAGAAAGACTAGGCCTATTCAGTATCCAGTGAGATGCCTAGATTTGGGAGATAGCCAATGTTGCTATTGTTGGTTGTGCTGCCTGCTTCGGTGGACTTGTGTGTGGGAGCTGGATTTAAGCAACTGAATGGGGTTGGTTGGCTGGCTGGCTGGCTGGCTGGCTGGTTGGTTGGCTGCTTGCCTCAATCCCAGCTCAATCACCATCACCACCATCTTGTGTATGTCACCTCCCTTGCATCCCCCCCCCCTCCCCCTTTCTGCTGTCTATCCAAGGGAACATGTATGTGGAGACTTGATCATTCTCTCTCCTCTTTAGATGCTTTGGTTGTATGATCAGCTCTCATTTGTCATCAGTAAGGATTATAGAAGTTTTGGGGGAATGCTAGATACTACCTGGATTTGAGTCATTCACATACTCACAGAGAGCATGCATCCCTCATTGTAATTGCTGCAGCCCTAGTATAAACCAGGTCCAATTCCTAGCTGTGGCTGCAGTCTAGGAACTTCTGCTACATACACTGCTATTTTTAATATTAAAAAGTACCAATATAAGAACGAATGGAGTAATTTTTTGCAAAGAAATATATATATATATATATATATATGCACATTAGTGTTCAAGCCTACTTTGTGACTTTGGTGGTCTTTTTACAGCTTGGAATTGCTTGACATGATCTATGTTACCAGAACTGGTAGCACTTATGTGAAACAGATAGTGTGCATATGGTAGACATGGATGGCCCTCCCATCTATCTTGTCCTCATCCCTATAGCATAAATGAGGGATTATGCCTTTTCAGGCTCCTCTTTTATTGCTACTATTATTATGATGATGATGATTGTTCTAAACCACACAGTGACAAGATTTGTGCAGTGAATTGTATGGATTTTTTGAAATGTACAGAAGGCACATTAGTATGCATGTGAAGATTCAGTGCCATTTCCATTTGATCCTTTTAAAGGGAGGAGCACCATGCACCTATGAAAAGGTTTGACACTTGGAACATACACTCCCAAAACGAAATACTAAAAGTAAAAAAGAAGTGAAGGGAAAAAGGTAAAACTTTGGTGATCCTATTTTGTGAAACATATACCACCATTTTGAAAGTATGGGGAACAAGATTTGTGTTGGCTTGTACAGATGAAAGGGCACTTGTACAGATGAAAGGGCACATGCACAGGAAGGGAGTGGCCTACAATGAGGGAAAAAAGAGAGATTGAGAGAGACAACTGTAAGCCTAGTTTATGGAAAGACAAAGCACCATGTTTCAAGATGGAAAACATGTACTTCAGGGCTACTAGAAGTTGTGAGCATTTAGGAGACATTCAGATCGTGAAGTTCTATTTCTTCCCTGGTGGTGCTATACACGTGTACTTGTTGTGTGCATGGAGGAGCCATTTCCGGTGAAGAGCATCACTGTTGAATAATAAGCTAACAGCCATCAAAGTCAGCATGCTTGGATTGGCAAGATTGGAGTGTATGAGCTGGCAAGAGCTTGCAGAGGAGGCAATTCATTCAATCACACCAGTAAGCAATATCTGGAAAAAGACCAAGATTCAACCCACAGGTTGGCTGGCCTCACACTCCATTTCTCCCTTTTTGCAAAATCAGGCTTTGATCTTGTCGTATCTGCTGGGGCCTGCTGCTGCCCTTGGACATATGGCCCCACACCAAATGGCAGTGTCAGACTTCCAAGTTACTCCATATGCACATCAAAAATGGCCAGCCCTCATGACGGCCATAATTTCAATGGATTTTTATCATTGCTTGTTGTTTTAATTGACTCATTTACTCCAGCAGTTAAGTCCCGTTAAGGTATTGCTTCCCATTCATGATAGCTGCCAGAGATCACTGTGGGATCAGACGACTTGCAATTAAAGTGTGTCGTGAGCAACATGGAAAGTAGATCATGGAGCCCATCGATTTGGCTGCAACAAGGGCATGGAAAAAGGAAACCAGGCACATGTATCTGTGGATCATCTGCCAACACTTGGCTGGCAGGATCCTCAAAACAAGGGTGGCAAGGCAGTGTCCAAAATATGGAAGCTAAGAAGCAAAGCAAAGAAAAAAGGCTGGATAGAGTTATGGCACACTTGGGGGGGGGGGAGAGGCTGATTCAACTAAGCAAATGGAGGGAGAGTCCCCACCCCCCATGTTTCCCATGTCCAGAGAACCTTCTTGTGTGAACTAGGAGCAACCAACAAGGCTGTATTCGGGAAAAAAATTATACCAGGGCTGTGGTGGGGGAGAGAGACATGAAGGGTGAGGGGTAGTAAAGACAATAAAGAGTAGAATGGTGCTGCTGCAGAGTGATTGAATTCAAATCTGGTTTGACTTGCAGGGGGGGGGATGATGCCAAAGGGGGTGTAGTCCAGACAACAGGGTGCCCTTGCAAGGCACGGTGCCAAATGGAAAGCAGCAGCAGGAGCTTTCTGCCAACTAATGCAACACTATGTTGATTGGCTCCCCAGTCTATAAGGATCTTGTAGAAGACCCTCCCTTCTCCCCACCCTTCCCCATCTTCTTTTATTGCAACTGTGGCCCCCCTCACCCTCTTAACTGCCTGAATCCAATGTTGTTCTGACCCCCTCCCCTCCTCTCTTCAGTTGCTGATGGGTTTTGGTGGAGTGGGATTAAGGTAGACAACCCATTTCCAATAACTTTAACATTTTAGGATACTTGTAGTAAGTGTAAAAATGAAATAAAATATTCCCATGTAGGGAAATGGAAACGAGGAGGATTCCAAGTGTTTTTATACAATTTGGCCCAAAAATATAATTTATATAAATGTTTTAGTTGAAGATTCTCTTTAACCCATTTTTGACATATGGGCCAACTTAATTTGGATCATAGGCCAACCTAATTTTGACAAGTGGTGGGTTACAAAATTGAGAATCCAACTTTTTTTAAAACAAAGAAGTGTGGCACCTAATTATACTTCTATTCCACCTCAACCAATCAACAATTGCCACCTATTGATAATTCATGCATACCCATTGTGAGTACAATAAATTTTATTTATTGCTCAAAACTTAACATTATTTAAACCAATCTTTACCTATTCTAATCAATGTTAATGTTAGACCTAGTTACTAAACTATTAAAATTAGATAGACCTGTATGTTGGAAATGAGGGTAGTCGACAATGGATTGGCTACCTTATACCCTAAATTCCTTCCCCCACATGACCATGGTATGTTTGTGTATGTAAATAACTTTGTAATTTCTACATTTTGAAACATGTTTATTCAGTCAATTTTGATATTTTACTAATTATATATATAACAGGTTTATGAAAACTTAGCTGACAACTGTACTGCCCAATGACCACTTTGTTGAACAGACCATTGAAAACCATGGAACATCATGAGTTTAATCATTGCATCCCACTATTAGATTTTACCCTAATTTTGAAAAAATGTATTAAAAATAAAAAGAATGGAGAAAGTCAAACTGCCATACAATTTTGAAGAGAAAGAAAATAAGATTTGAACACCCAGAGATGAGTGATTTTCATTTGGCACATGAAGTTTGATACCCTAGAAGACACAGGGAATTGTAGACAATCAAAATGATTGCCATGAGTTTGAGCTGCACACCCTGATTTAATCTATGGGGTCAAATGGTGAGCATCTCTTTGTCTCTCTTTTGTCACCTTGCATGTGTATGTGAGTGTGTGTGATGGATGTTGTGAGCAGAAGCTGCTTGCCTACCCATGCTGGTGCAATGGAGATTATGTGTTTAGGTGGTGAGAAGAAACCCCTGCCCCACTAAAGGGATGATCTCTTTCACACAACCTCACACACAATCCATTGTATTGGATTGGGATTAGCTGTGCCATGTTTGCCACCCTCCTATTCTCAAACAATGTGATGCAGCCTTGTGGTGAGTAGGGATTGGTTCCAGGCCCTCTTCTAATTTTGCAAATCTTGGAACATGGAGAAAGGCTGCCATAAAAAGAAGGAAAATGTTCATGTAAATGTATTTATGAATTGGTTTGCATGCCAATAGGGATTTTTGTTGGGTAGCTTATAGGTGGCATGAACCCCCATGCTGGAAACATGCACTATGGGGCTGTTTTGACTGGCCTTGTCTGATTGTTTGGGTTCCTGTTAACCCCTTTTGGGATGAAGGTTTCAATCCCCAGATCCCCTCTTACCCAACCCATGATGCTGTTTCTTGCTTTCTCTTATTACCAGTACTAATGAGAAAGAAAAACTATGAAAAAGAAGCAAAAGACCCATCAGTAAGAATAGTTTCAAAATAAAATAAAATAAGAGACACAGAAAAGAGATTTATTTGATGCCCTGAACCGACTGACACACTCTCATGCCAGGATTTTGTACTTTGCCAAGAGAACTCAGGTTGAAGCTTTTCCACATGTACTATACTGGTGGCTGCTTGTTTACTACAATGAAAATTTCCTAGCTTCAGAACAAGAGAAAATAGGTACAATACAATGGACTGCAATTATTTAGAACTAATAAAAAAAATGATATCACCCCATGAAAATTTTATTTTGAAAACCTGATAGATGATAATAATAAAAAAAAAATAGAGAAGGAAAAGTAAAATCATAATGAATGTGCTCAGTGTACTTCTCTACCTACATGTGAAACCCCTTGATGAGGCTGGAACACCTAAAGCTGGAGAAACAACAGTGAGTTCAGGAGTAAAGTGAAAGAAAACAGGAGAGACGTACCTCTAATTTTTACAGTGACAGAAATGCATCCATCCTGATAAGATTATGACACCTTACCGGCGTGAGTATTGCCACAATCAAACAGAGTGTGTGTTTGTGTGCGTGGGTGCAGTTGTCTCTGTTCACAGCATTGTAAAAATTACCATCCCAGGAGGCTTTTCCAATGATAAAGCCTGCAACCTATATTGCTAAGGGCGCTGTTAAACTGGCTACTGAAGACGATTCAATATATACAAGCAATCCAAGCAGTGACTTAGGATGTTCCTGATCAAATCGACCTACAAAATTCTTGAGCTAACCTATTTCTTTGTCTTTTTTTTTCTTTGAGACTCCCATGCTAATTTTCTGAAAGAAACTTTTTGTCTTCCTTCCATTGCACTGATTCCCCCTGCCTCAAGCATGCAAACTGTTTCCAAATGACAAAATCATACAGCAACATCAGCAGAAATTACAATTCGGTTTATGTAGAACTAGCCAAGATTATTTGCTTCTCTAGTCACCTTAAAAATTTCTACTTACTCTTTGATTATGGCCCCAGTTTAAGTTACATATACAATTAAGAGAATGAATTTTTGAGACATAAGAACATGTAAAGAATCAATCATAAAATTCATGATTTGAGCATTTAAGTTTATAAACTTTCTATGTTCATTAAACGTCGATTACACCTCTTTAACAACTATTCTCTTAAAAAAATTCCGACATCATCACACGTAAAGTATCAACTTTTATTTTGCATAAAACTCTAGGTCACATTACAGACCAAACAAATGCAATCTAAGGTGAAAAATTCATTTTCTCATTGAAAGAGAAGCTGGAACTAAAACCTCAATGCCTTGGGACCTAAACAGTTGGAATCAAACTTTCAAAAATTGTATTTCACTAAATTAAGTAGGAGTTGTTATGCACCAAAACCAAAGGTTGTTGTGGCTAAGAAAGTGTATCATCTCATGGATTTCTTGGGGTATATGTTATTTTTCTTCTTTTTCCAAGCCTCAACTCTCGACCTATGCAAGCTGATGTACATCAAGATGCTGATACCAAAAAAAATAAAAAATAAAATAAAAATCATTTCCTGATGAATCGTTCATCCCCACTGCCGCTGAACCGATTGCAATCGGGCCAGCATTCATGCGCACATCGCCACGCCTGGGCTGCTCTAAGCAACGGTGATCAGTTTCTGGCATCAAAAGAGTTAGTTGCTCCACACAAGCCGATGGTAACATCCTTAATTAATGAATCCGATCTGACCTCAATTTGGGGGGGTTAGAACTTCTCACACTAGCATTGAAGTTAGTGTATGAGCAGGATCCAAAACTTAGACATCGAATAAAATTTAACCTATCTTCTCAAAATTGAGCCCTGATGATTTTGCAAAACTAAACGGGAGTAGTGTATTGTCGTGAGAGGCTGTTAGCCCTAACCTTAGGACTGGGAATGTGTCGTCGAAGGTCATTCACAGCATTTCCAGGCTTGACGTTTATCAGTTCATCGGGGACCCGCGCAACTTCTGCTACGGAACTTTCCTCATAAAAACCCCAGATTCGAGATTTCTTTTGAAAACACTGATGTCATCCTGCTCCCTGCTACGCAACCGATGAAACCTCAACAAAGAGACGGAAACGAACATCATTCAAAGCAAGAAGTTCAAGAAATTTCTCCCTATTTTTATTCTGTAAAAAAATGATAAATCATTACTTGGAAACGATTTTCATGTTCTTGAAGAGCCCATGTGTGCACTCCTCCATCATCACTAAGACCATCCAAGAATCCGAGTTTCACATGTACACAACACAATTCAATCATAAGCTGAGACGCCACCATTGGATGTAACAATGTAGATCACTTACCTCACAGCCTGAACAACCGCAACAGCAATGAATGTCAATTCAAAGAATCTCAGCCTGAGAATAAACCTCCTCAATTTAACTGATTGGTGCCGATATTGTTCAGGGAATAGTGTCCAGTGATGCAGCCTCGACAACCCTGCCTTGATCCACCCAAAAATAGGATCTCAAGGTGGGGGCAAACCATAGCCTGCAAAAGCAAATTGAATGATGGCCATTTATTTCTGTGCAATAAAGACTAAAGTTTCCATGCATCACTGAACACGTTCATTTGAACCTTCTCAATGTAAAGCAAATTCGGTACACAAGCAAAACGAGAGAGGTATAGTATCTGGCAGTTGTCTAAAAGGAGTCGCTCCTAACATCGTAAGTTTGCCAAAATCGCTGACAGGCCATCCCCTTAAATAATGAGGATCCAGCCAGATCCAGCTTCCTAGTGGTGCACATATGGGTTCGAATGGTGGTCCAGGCAGCCCAAGTCCAAGAGACTCCCTGCCATTGGAAAGTTAAGCACGGATACCTATTAGTATGTGCATAACAATGCAAATGTGCTTTGACATAAGTAACATAAAGTTGGCTAGTGCTCTGTTCAAGAACAGTTGACACAATGGTCAAAATCTAAATCAGAACTAAACCAGGAATATCGATAATGCAATTGGAAAAACCATCTCCTCAGTTGTAAGAACCGAATGCAGCGCGATAAAAAGCACGAATTGATTGGGTGCGGTGTGCATCTTAGATAGGGTTTGGGATCGTGACTAGGAAGGCAATGCCAACCGAGCTGAACCACAAAACTTAAAACACAATCGACCCATTAAATGTGTTTCTACATAAACGTGAAGAGATTTGTGCAACATGCAATGTTAAAAAGTACAGAGTTGGGGGAATCCAAAGTTCAATTACTTCTAGACAAAAAGTAAGAGCAGTAAAGCCTTCGGCAGATTCATGCCAAATAACTAAACTTTACAAAGACAATTCTGGTTCTTCAGTTGCTGCTTTCTGTAAATTTGAAACATGAAAAAACCAAACATAGGCTGCGAAATTGAAGCGGCAAGTCTGGTTACCTGTGCTACGATGCGACTTCGCAAATTTGCTGCGGGTATCTCATCAAATTGTCGAGTTTGCAAACGGAGACGAGGTGGTGTAGTGCGAACAAGGCCTCAGAAAATTCGACACGCGCACAACGTGGACACAACATCAACAGGATTTTCAGGTAGCCAATATTGAGTCAAGTACAACAGCAGAAAGGTCTGTAGCGATTACACTGTTCTCCGACATCTCTTTTTCCATCAAAATCTCGTCTTCGTCCCGCAGATGGCTCCATCAACCCAACTGAACTCCCCGCAACGCCACCCCAAGCACCGAATCTGTGGCGAATCCACTACTCACTTGTGAACGCAGAGCCCTGCCACCTCTAATTTCCAAAGGAGGTCTCTCCCTTAGAAAGCAACCTTTCATTCAACGCAGAACCCAATTCAGCAGAAACCATAAGTAAGACAGGATGATGAACTCTGCAAAGCAGGATTCAGAGGACTTGGCAACCAGAGAGGGCACGGGATGATTGTCTTTCTTTCATGTTTTTCATGAGAGAGTGTGGAGAAATGCGTGTTTGGAGAAATGTCAAAGAATTTGGAGAGCAATGTAAGATGTCTACAATTAGTGCATCAATTAGAGGATGTAATTTTTGCAGTGGGTTTGTATTTTTTAATTGTCATCTCATGTAAATGTTTGCACTCTAGGCTTGGTTAAGACAGTTTGTGGTTCTTTCATTTCCTGCTACTGTTTGCTTGAGGTGTGCTTATTTCTTGGATGTGAAGCAATTGGTGGGATTTGAGGCAATATTCTAGAAGTTGGAGCTGTTGTGGCGCGTAAGCCTCAATTTCTATGCCAAGGCTTGTGGTTATATGTTGCAGAGAGCACTGAACAACGTGTTAATTATGGATGAGCGCTAAAAGTGTTGGTCGTTAAATTTTGCTCTTGATGGATAGACAACTGTGATGCTACCTGCAAAATAATATCGATGGAGGTGGCAATTACATCTTACTTTGTTTTGTAGTCAAAGCACTCTACCATGATTCCCGTACAAGGTGCGTCTTTGAAGGTAAATCATCTCTTATCACTTTGTTTACGTTTGTGGCTTATAGAGTGGTGAGAATTGCTTAATAAATTTTTAAAATTTTGAGTTTATATAGTGCAAATAGATGTACATGAAGAGAGCTTCAAGTAGGTTGTCAAATAGGTTCGTTTTAGGTAGGTGCATAGGCATAGAGGATTTTAATTTCATCTTTATGCCTCAAAGAATTTGTAGATCTTATCATACAAAATCTATATGCAGCACATTGCATAGTTTATAAAACATTTTCTATATATAGTACTGTTTGTAAAACATATATCTTATATTATAGAATCTTTGCTTTGTATTATTTAATTTATTGCATTCATCATAATCAGGTGTAAATTTAGATTATTATGTTTTTATAATTATTCAAATAATTATTTGAATATAAAAAACAATTCTTTGAAGATATAAGTGATAATTTAAAGGTTATTAAGGTCATGGCTTAAATTAGGAGATTATATTTGGAATTGATAGTGAATCAACTTTATTAAAAATTGACATGACATTAATTTAGATCATCTAATTAGATGGATATTACAAAAGCAAAAGGTTGGAATGGTGGCATTTTTTGATTTTAATTGAATCATCTTTCTTTTACTTTAAGCTTAGGTCTTTATATTATTAAATTGATATAACATTTTTTATTTTATATTATATATGGAAGATTAGTATATATTAATTAATACTATAAAATAATTTAGAATAAGATAAATTAATTCATAATATTAATTAAATTTTCATTGAAGTAATATATTTTAGCATAATAAATTATTGATGGTCTAATGTTGATATCTAATAATATTTGAGTTTGCAAAAAATAGGTGTATAATTTTATTAATTTAAAATATTTTAAATAATATAATAAATTTATTTTTAAAAAATAAATTAAAAATATTTTTGAAGTTAATAGAATTGCTTATAAAATTTATATTAGAATAATTTTTTAAAGTTCTTGAATTATTTTTTGTACTATTGAATTAAATATTTTTTGAATTTTTTCATTAATATAATAATTTAAAATCTTGATTATTACAATAAAATTATGATAATTTAAAGATAAAAAATAAGTAATAAAAAATTTAGTGAATATATTTTATTTTAAGGATAATTTGCTTAAGAGATCAAGGATTCGGGCCTCACCAAGATTTACAAATAGTGTATAAGAGTGTATTAGAGAAGCCACAAGACCTTAGTCTTATTATCTTACCTACATCTAAGGTGCTACAATACATATGGAATGTATGCACATTTCTTCATACAAGTATTAGACCAACTATTGGTACTCTATTTTATACTAGTAAAATTATTATTTTTTGAAATTTTGACTTTAACATGGTGTTTAAAAAAATAAAATTAGCCTAGAAATATCACAAGGCCTTCAAATCTTATTTAATTTCTTCATAATGGCCTCTTAAAGTGGTAAAGGTCATTTTTATCAAAATATTAAATAATTATTCTAATTTTTTTTTAAAATTTATAAATAAATTTTATTTATTTTAAAAATATTTATATTTTATCTATAATTCTAATATCAATTAATTATTTTTTATCTTAATAATTTACTTGTAATAATAGGATTAATTTAAATCAACTATTTTTTTATATATAAATAATTTTAAAAAATAAAGATTTTTTCATGCTCTTTTATTTATGAACTAATATTGGTAGATTTATTTTTATTTAAATATTATGTTTAGATAAAGTGCTAATGTAGACATTGGTCTCAATAATTAAACTCTAATCTTTTCAATTAAAAGAATTTTAATGACTTTGAAGAGTATATAAATGTACTTCAATTTCTGAAACATATAAGTGCCACTTGAAATAGAAAAGATTTAAAAAAAATTCAAACTTAGAAGTATCATGAGATTTAAAAGACTTATTTTAAACATCATATATAAAAAGATTTGATGATGTAATTAAATAAAATTAATTAAGAAAGGTTGAATCAATAGTCAATGTTGGTTTAATTGCTGAAAGATGAAATTGCTTTGGCTTTAAAAGAATTGTTTATTATTAATTATAAGCTCCATCTACTTCTTTTAATATAAGATAAGAGTATCTTAATAATGCATTTTGAATATATATATATATATATATATATATATATTTGCCAATAAGTAATATTAAATATAAGTCTTGAAAGAGACATATTTCAACATATTTAGCGATAATTCAATGTACATACTTACATAAAATACTTAGGATTCTTATAATCTATAGAAATAGTTATTAGAATAAAAATGATTCATAGTTAATAGTTCCATTCTTAAAATAAATCCACTATTGTAAGAAGTACTTTGTTATATATTTTATAATTGATTTTGGCTACTAAAACTTTTCTTAAACAGAAAGTTACAAAATAAAGTTTTTCATTTGATTTTATTTGTGATAATACTATGTTTAAGATAAAATTTAATATATTTATTTTTATAAAAAATACCTTAAAATATTCAATTCAATACAAAATTTTTACTAGAATAAAAGTTAACTTTAATTTAATTTAATTTAATTTTTTAGCTTCTTTGTTTTGTTTAAGTTTGCTTTTAGAAGTTAAACATGTAAGTGGTATTGCAACTTAAAAAAAAATCTTGATAAAAATCCAATAATAATTAGTGTATTTAAAAAAATGAAATTTCAAATTTTTTTAATTGTTCTTGCAGTTTTAAAATCTATAATAAAATGAATTGTATTATGATCTATTATAAAGCTATCATTTGAAATGATATATATTAAAAAAATCAACTTTATTTGTACAAAACACACACTTTTTTTTTTATCTTGGCATATAATCTTGCATCTCTAAGTTTTTGTAATATACAACATACATAAAATTTATACTCTTTTATATTTTTAAAATATATGAGAATATTGTCTAGATAAAAAATAATAAAATTATCTAAAAATTATTTAAAAACATCATTCATTAGATGTTAAATAGTAGTTGGAGTATTTATAAGTTTAATAGGTAAAATGTTATATTCAAAATATCTACACCTTGTTTGAAACATAGTCTTTTATTCTTTTTTATTTTTATGTATATCAAGTTGTATATTCTTTATAGATCTATTTTAATATAGATCATGGCTTAGTTCAATTGATTAAAAAGTCTAAACATCAAAAATAGAAAGTATCTATTTAAATAGAAATCTTCTTAAGTTTTTAATAATCCATACACATCTATAGTGATTGATCTTTTTTCTTCACAAATAAAATAGAATCTCATATTAAAGATTTTTAATGGTGTATAAAATTCTTGAATAAATTCTTATCAATATATTTTTTGAGTGAAGCCAAAATATTTTGTGATAAACTATAAATTGGTCTAATTGGTGCTTTAGCTTCTTTTTTAAGATCAATTGAGAAGTCATTAGAAAGATGTTGTGGAAGTATGTTTGTATTCTTTTTCTAAAAAATGTCTTGATAATCCTTATATTAGATTAGAATACTGCTTAAAGTCTTTTATAAATCAAAAATAATTATGATATATATAACAAATAAAATTAATTCTTTTACAAAAATATTATGTTGTAATACAAATATAAGCTAAAATAAAAAAATATAAATTATATTTAGAAAGACATAAATAAAAAACAAGAAGATAGCAAATACATTTATTGTTATTATCATCTATTAATTTGAACTAATTTATACTTATAATAACTTTGTAAAAACTTTGCAAAATTAAGGTTTTTTTGAGATGATTTTTGTTTTTGTAAAATAAAAAGAATTTATATTTTGAAGCATTTTATAAAATTTGTCACATCTAAATATGAAAATTTGTAGATTTATAATTGTAATTATGTTTATTTTATTTTTTAAAAGTTTGAATTTGATCAAATGGTAAAATTGAAGGATGCTAAAACTCAAGTAAGTTGGAGTCTTGGAAATTGGATATTTGAAGGCTAATGAGATTTTTTAAGATTTGCAACAATCCATTGGTTGGACTTAAGAAATTTGACACAATAGTAGTAGACTTGGTTTTCAATAGTTGCACAAAATTTGAAAAAAATAAAAAAAATTATAATAAGAGATATCAATATTATGAGATTGGCATCAAGGTTGGAGAAAGAGGTAGGCCAACATCCAAGCAAATTGTGAGGTTTTTCTCTCTTTTGGTAAGTTTGGTTCTCTAAAAATTATTATTTTGTGCTTGTCATCAACTGCTAGATTTTCCACCTTCCAATAACTTTATTTCTATTTTCCTTTTCTTTTTGTCATAGACTTTACAACAACAATAAGAGAGGAATTGCCCAAAATAATATTACAAATAATGATACGAGAGGTGCAGGATACGGCAAGCCGGGGAAGAAAGAATACTGGACAGGAGGAGCAGGAGCAGGATTGATACAAATCTGTAGCACAAGCACATCACCTTCAACGATGCTGCGCTAACATCCCTTGTCTTCGAGCAGAGTCTGAAATTGCTGCCAGGTCAAGCCCTTCCCTCCCCTGATGAGGAGCACTTTGGTCGGGTTGAAAGGCCCTCGGATGCGGTCTATGCCTCGGATGGTGGCTGTTGCAGGCAGCACCAGCTCCGCAGGATCGTCGGGGGTTGGTCTCATTAGAGACGACGAAAATCCCTGCACCAACACTCAACTATCGATTAACGAAACTCCGCCATTGGAAATACGACACGTCACCTTCACAATTCACCCCAACTTTGACACCGTAGTTCAGTTTTCAGCTCCTTTGAGGGTTGCCCTTGCTATGGCGGTTGATCATGCATTTGGTGTAATGTATTACCTCCCTTTCGTACTCTACCCTAGTTCTCAGAACTCGGCTTGCGACTAGGCAGGCAAACTACCTCGCAGTTGAGGCACTGCGAGCTGAATTAAATTCACTTCGGCAAACTTTCTGACTCGACATTGCCAATTCCATGCAACAATTTGCCGTCGACTGGGATCACTAGTCCCGACACACACACACAGCAATATGACACCTTCTACAACCATTCTGCCTGGCCCTCACGATAAGGGTGAAGGAATGCGATTAGTACCTTGAAGATGATCACCTGGTCTTCCTCCCCATCCACTACCGCGTGCACTCGAAGAACCTCGTTAGGCACTCTCTCCGTGTACCGCTCCATCCGTGTGACATCAAATTGAACGTCCTCGTTCTGCACATCCCCTTCCTTCACGGCGTTGTCGCCGTTGCTAGCTCTCGGCAGACGCTTCTCCCTGCAGACGGGCCTCCACGCCGCACCACCTCCAAATTGAGAAAGAGAAGATCGAGAGCGGAATGCAGAGATGCAAACAAGGAGAGCAGGAGGGGAAGGAAGAGGAGAAGGAGGAGAGGGCGAGGGTGGAGCAACAGGAAGTGCACCGCGGAGGAGGAGGAGTGAGGACGCCATGGCCACGCCGCGATTGCAATTGAAAGAAAGGCACACTGCATTGCATTCGCAAATTGGGGTCTTCCATTAAATGTCCATTTTTCTTGGTGCTTTTCATTGAATCTGATACTTATGCTAACGTGGAGTTTCCAAGTCATATTTAAGTCTTGTGAATGTACCAACACAAGCAGGTTCTATTATTCTTCACATTCTAGCATCAGACATTACTTCTAGTCATATCATATATCATAGGAGATATTCATTGGCAATTTTTGTGATATTTTGAATTTCGAAATTTTTATCTGAGTGATTTCATGAATATCTTTTCTTAAAAGAAGAAGTGGTACAATGAACATTTATTTCTAGGTCTTTTTAGAAGCTTTTATGGTGTTCTAAACTGCATTAGATTTTTTTATAGAAAAATTATCTCTAAACCTGCTCTTCTTTATAAACATTTGGACTACAAGCTTGTAGTCTAAATCACATGATAATAGCAATTTAATTAAATGTTTTTTAGAAACCAAAATTGAGACCATATAAGTATCATAATTTATTTTTATTTTTATTTATTTATTTTTAAACTTATGATTTAAGCATCTTCTTGTATTGTTGAGTAGTCATTAAAAAAACCTATACTTAGTGCAATGCAAACAATTCTTTCTTTAATTGTTAAATCTCTCACAAAAATACCTTTGTCTTATATATTAAGTATCAAGTTGTGTCTTTTAATACACCCTTTGTCAACTTCTTTTCTAAAAATGCATGTTCTTTCTCATGTCAATTATATTTTTACTTTATTATTTTTATTATTTTAAAAAATAAACCTCAATTTTTATTATATGTAAATAAAAGTAAAATATGAGAATTATAAAAGCCAACTTTCTATTAAAATAAAAGTAAATAAAAAAATTTGCTTGAATTGAGTGCAAATAGAAGTAATTGATAAATTTTATTGAGTATGACTATGCTCTTTATAGAATCAATTCCAAACCTAAATAGTAAAAGATAAATAGATTATCAAAAGAAATTATGCAAAGAAGAGAAGTAAGGTATTTTGGCTTGTTTTATACTACTAGCTCAATGACCTTCAAATAATTGTCTTTATTGCATTATTATTCCAAATTCAATAATTCTTGATTTATTAGAAAGCTATTTTATGCAACTTTATTTTCCACTTGGCACAAAAAAGAAATATCACAATGCAACTTTGTTTGACGTTCCTAGAATCTTTTATATGCAAAGTAATAAAAAAATATACTTAACATAAAAAATAATGAAATAATTATTGAAGTACTAGCACCACCAAACTTTGTAGTAGTTTAATTATAAAACATTTAGAATTACTCTTCTAAAGTTTGGAAATCTAAATTATCAAGGTAATAGACCAATCTACACTTGAATTATATTAAGAAATTTATTTTAATTCTAAATTTAATATCTCTTAGCTACTAAAAGAATTGACTTTAAAAGATTGCTAATTAGAATGACAAAATTTTATTTATAATTTCAATCACAATATATATATATATATATATATATATATATATATAAAATTCATACTTCTGTATTTAAAAATTTGATAGAATGATATTATATCTATTTTCAATTGCAATACTAAACTTGCAACTATAGCCATGAAATTCATTCATTGATTTAAGTTTTATCTAGCTAATATTTGAGTTGTTTAAAGTTCTTTAATATAAACTCTAGATTATCATTAAATTAATTTTTTAAATCTATGTATAGAAATTTATTTAATATTAGATCATATATTCTAATTATTATTAATTATTAGGAATGCCATATTATTAGTTATTATTTATGAATTATTTAAAAATTATTTTAAAATCTCATTTATTAGATTGCCATAAATAAAAGTATTATCGAAGTTGCTATAATAGTGGTTCCAACATGCTGAAGTACTTAGAGTGTTTCTAATAATAATAAAAAAAAGATCATTGAGATTCAAGTGATGAAGAGGCAAGTTTAGTGTAATTGAAAAGATTTTAAGTGATTTAAGGAGTGTATAAGATGGAAGTAAGTAGCTTTAGAATGTTGTAATTTGGAAGGACATAATCAACTTATAGTATACTTTGTGTTTTCATTTAGGAAAAGCATAATTAAAAGAAAGACATAAGTAATAGTATTAATTATTAGGATATATATAATAAATATGAAGTTAATATAATAATATATAAAAAATATACAAACTGGTTTTAAGAAAAGAAAAGAAAAGAAAAGAACTTATGCTTAAAAGAAATGAAGATTGAGTTTTTACTTTATAAATAAGATTAAATTAATAAGGTGTAATTTTGTTTTTTAGTAAGAGACATCATAAAAGAAGGTCTAAGATTTAATATAATATTTAAGATTCTATATAATTTTTTTAAGTAAAAAAGAATCAAATTACTACTATTAATTCAATATTGCTCAAAAAAACTCTCTTTCACAAAAATGTCTTTTGATACGAATCAATACTTGCAAACATTAAAATTTAAAGACAAATTATTTGAATAGAATCAAATATTTTTTCTTATAAATATAGGATAAAAACTAAAAAGTCAAAAATATTGGTTCTACAAAACTTGAATATCTTGTTAATGACAAAAATTGAAAAAAAAAAAAATAAACAAAGTAAGATGTGCATCAAAGAGAGATAGAATTTTTTTTTAAAAATAAATGTATGTTTTAGAGGAGATGAGAATAACTATTGCCAATAATAAGAAGACTAAAAAATATTGAAATTATACTATAGCAAGGAAAACATTAATAAGTGTAAGAAATATGTGATTCTTGCACTCATATATATTATCTAAATAAGGAGCTATGTAACAATATTCTTGAGGCTATATAACATGTGTCTAATTTGCAATACACATGTCAAACTTGTAGGATTTTTTTTTGACATGTGCACCACATGGCTAATATATACAACATGTGTTCAACCAATCAATCACTTGTGAATACTAAGAGTCAAATCAATCACCTGTAAATACTTAGAGTCAAATCCACATTTATAAAACTTCTAATAATCTTTCTAATAAGTTATTATCAATTTAATCTACATTTATTTACTTACTTACATCTAATTCTACTTATTCCAAGTAAACATACTAATAAACAGATGTCTATGATAATAGCTAGGATTACCATCTTGTCTTAACAACAAAATCAACTTCGCTCACTTACATTGTATCTCTTCTGCCCATGTGAGTCCGATTCCCAAGTAACTCCAAGGTGTGAGCCACTTTTTCTGTTTCATTTATTTAATATTGTAATCAATGCAACATTGCTTGATTGTAAGTTTTGTTCTGCTAAATGTGGTGATATGTGTTGTTTGTCGTGGGAATGATTACAGAGTATGTAGGACACATTTTATCACTCAATACAATGATATTTTAGAAGAAAACATTTCAAAAATTGAACCTTATCAAATGATATTTTGTATAGAATCATTCTAACAGGTTGTAAGTTTTGGTAACTGTTGCCCCTCAATGAGCAACATTAGGCCAAAGTCGTAATTCTAGTTTGTAACCACCCCACTTGGTTGGTTGGTAAGCAGGCTGCCTACTTTTAGGGAAGCTCCAGACCTCCAAACCTTCTTATCAATCCTAAATTAATAATAGCACTTTTCAATTACCACACATTTGGCATTGCTGTTGACGTCCACGTCAGCATTCACAGACCGTTCCAGCACATAACATTTCTCCTGGTTACTTGAACAATCCCTCTACAAATTATCCTTTCCAAGCCTCCCAAACAACCATGGGTTGCTGTTCATGACTGCTTCTTATACCAACTACTCATGAACATATTGATTGCTATAAGATAGTTCAGTAATGGGGCTGCAGATCCTCTACACAATTTGTATGGGAGAGTATGACGTTCTCACATGCAAGAGTGGTGATATAGCTATGACTCCTTCTCATTTTCTTTAAGAGAGGATGTTTTGTCATTGCAACAATCCTCCATCTGAGGGTCCACTATTTGCATAGATTCACTTATAATGAAATGCATTTAGATACTATGAATTTGCCACATGAAGGGCTGCATGATTCAATAAGCCACGTTTTCCTACAGTAAGACACTGCAAACACTAAGTATTAAAGAGGTATTTGCAACTTAGGAAATCAGGCTTTCAGCTGGGGAACATCCTCGCAGACCAACCTGACATTAGTGTCAGGTATGGAGACGAAATACAATTCAAAGGTAAGAAGTATAACTGTTATATGATGTTAATTTAGGGAAGCTCTAGACCTCTAAACCCACCACCAAAATCAGGTAGATTTTTACAGTTAAGTAGCATCTAATCATCCAGAGCTCGTGTCGCACTTCTAAGTTGTTGATGGGTTATGGAGAGCAGCAGCGGATAGCAATGATCTTCGTCGTAGTTGGGCCATTCGGATCCTGGCTCATTCCTTACGAACCCTTCGTGAAGATTCCATATACGGGAGTCATAGTGCTCCTGAATTTCTACATCAAGTTCGACACTTTGAGCAGCTCGCACAAAGCGATCCAACGAGTGACCCCTTCTCGGGTTAAAAAGAATCGCTTGACAACCGTCAGCCGTACCGAGGAGGCTCTTGATTGAATATGCCAAGTCCAAATGGAAATCCTTGAAAAATGTACTGCCAGTGCAACACAACATGTGATATTAAGATTATACATAAGACATGTCACTTCTCCATTTACCATGACTAGTTACATTAGAATTGGAAGGGGGTGGTCTGTGTGTAACTTTCATTAGAATTGGAAGATGATTTCTAGCTTCGTAAGATATCAGATGGAAAATAGGTCATTGCTGGAGTTTTGCTGACTGAAGAAACTGTCAATTCGCGCCACGTGAGAGCACCCAACTGAACATGACCCTGAAATTGAGTGAATACGAATACAAATTATGAACGAATGTATTGCTCTCCAGCTGGATGAGGAAGATTTACCAGTCTGCAGCGATGACGACGTCGAAGTTCAACCCAGGCATTGCTGCTTGATGTCGACTCCAATGCAATGTACAAGTGCGCACTTTGGTATCACCAAACAGCTCATTATTTGCTGTAATATTCTTTTGTATATCTGCAACCGAAACAGTGGAACAAACTAGATCATAAGTCAACCCGCTCGTGTGATTCTTCAAGCATCCAACCAAGAAAACAAGTGCACGTTCTACACACAATGGCTAATTATGTAACTGTTCCCAACGTCTCTCATAATTGTAAGTTTTGAATCTGTAGGCACGATAAAAGTGGAGACAGCAAAAACTGGACCGTTGAGGACTTGAGATTATTAGGAAAACGTGGGTAAAAGAACTAGAAGAATTAATTGGATATGTATAATCCAAAAATAAGTGAGCGCGTGATGCTTGAGTGTTCATTCGAGAAAACCAAAACACCAGCCTTAGGTTGATGACGTACATTCCACAACATGAGGATTTCCGTCGGTAAGAAGTACTTCTGACGCCTCGGAACATGCAGCAATTGCCAGACCCGCCAACCCATAACCAGACCCAAGTTCAATAACTCGTTTATTCCTGCACCAAGAAGTTATGCATCGATACTTGTTACACTACAACAAAGATTTTCCACTGCTAAAACTTGAGCCCTGCATACTGATGTGGTGACTATGAAAGACCGCAACGATACTATACCTGAAAAGCTCTGGGCGTGAAATGCAATAGTAGGTCATAATCTCTTCTGCTGGCCACATGCCTGTTCCACAAAATATATTAACGTCACACCCTCTGCTGAATCAAAATAGGTCATTCCAAGACGCCACTCCATTATGATGCAACCACTCCTTTGAATGTTCTTTCACGTAGGCAGCGAGCCAATGGTGCAAAATATTAGTTTCATAAGTGAAAAATACTTTATTAAAACTGTGAAATATTGCAGGTAAATGAAAGAAGAATGTCTAGGACCACAACTACTTACAGACGAGGCCTGTGCTGTCAATGTCATACTTTTGCGAATTGATGAAATCGCTCAGATCAATTCCTGAATCCTTGCGCTGGCTGTATGAACATGTTTAACATAATCAAATACATTCCCTGAAGCTTACAGGACTTCTGTCACTTGTGGTTCATAAGCTCGGCTGTGTTAAAGCAGTGGTGCATCACAGCCGAGCTTCTCAGTCGTGAAAGACATGATCGGTCAAACACCCACTCTGGTTCTCATTGTCTTCCACGCTACACAAGTTTTCTGCACATACAGTACTAGTGCAAATGAAGTGACGTGGTTAGTGCCATACCGGAGGGTTAGAACGACATTAGGATCTGAGGGGAGAGTATATCGCGCTACTACTTCTCTTCTGTTCTGTGTCTGTTCCTCAGGATTCGCTGTGGTTGCCTCTTCAAGAACGGGAGAACACTGGATGACATTGAAGCGCCCCCCTGGTCGCCTTGAAACCTTGTTCAAGTCATTCTCAGCTTCTAGCACTGTTCGCTGCATGCAATTAACAACTGAGAATCTATCTCCCCTTAACCTTTCCACATACCATACAGCACACTTCAACACAATCTATTTTTTGAAAATTCAGAAGATAATTCAAAGTAACTTTTAATTGATCATTTGGTTTTTGAGTATTCCATGCGTACAAAAGCAATTAGTCCATCCTTAAAAGATTTCTACAGTTCTTGTTGCCTCCATTAGGAAACAAATCACCGAAGGCAGCTAAACCCTAAACCTGAGACAGGGCATGCACAAGTTCATGGATCGTAGTTGTAAGATTCAAAGATAAGCCACTGGACATTAAGAACCTCCAAAATCCTTGCAGGGACGTACCCCATGTTGCTCACAGGTCAACCATGGCAATCAACAGCCTCCACCATCGTTGGAGAGAAAAACTCGTTTTAAAGAGGGATCCAACACTTCGAGTGGGAATAAAACAGTATTTTCCAAATCAATCTTTTAATTATGAGAGGTTCTCTCAAAATCAAAGCCAGAAGAGCGAATCAATGCATTGACACAGCTTGCAACCAGTACCGCAAAGACGCCAAATCCATTCTCACTAGGAACCTAAATATTTTCTCATGTGATAATAGAGCCATTCAAGCCGAAACATCCTCAACACGTGGAAAAATCGAGACTTGTGACAAAAATTACCACGTTTTTGACACAAAAAAAATCTGTTTTTAGGTTTCTAGTGTCTCTCTAGGCATATGAACATCAACGTCAATGAACTTATACAAAGAAATTCTCAACGAAATGGAGACCACGCACGAAAATGAGCATAACTGATTTCACAGGAAGTCCCACGCTGTAGACACATTGCCGCATCGGGGATCTGAAACTCCATAACTTGATATGAAAGAGAGAGCGGAAGAGGCAAGTGGAGGGCGCACCTGGTTTCCTGGATGAAATAAAGCGACCTAGTAAGCTCCATCGCAATGCGGATGCAGTCGGAGTATCAGAAAGTTTCTTCATATCTTTCGGATATGCCTCCCCTGTACTCTCCATCACCTTTTCCCGCTTCCCTTCGCTGCTGTCTGCGAAAATACGTAGACAGGAACGGAGCGATTGGTGTGAATATTGCCTCCTCTAGCAATAATCTCTGTCTCTCTCCCTCGCTCCCTCTCTCTCTCTCTCTCGCTGAGATCTACGTCTTCTAACTTCCAAACGCAGCAACCGAGTCGTCAACAAACCTGCTCTTCTGCAAAATTCTGCTCGTCTGCTCAGCAGGATCCACTGCCATAAACATGAGGGCAGCTCTCGCTCCGTCCGGATCCGCAAGTGCCTGCTCATTCTGTGCACTTGGAAAATGTCTACATGGCACCAGTTCCAACGGGGACATCCCAAACTCGTCGAGGATGAAGCTGGATGAGAAGATTATACGCCCCAGTTGGGTGTCTGTGTGAGATAGCCCCCACCTGAAAATCGAGCTAGTCAAATTTCCAATTCATTTCCTCCGGGAAGTCCTTTTAACAGCTTCCCAGACTTTGAGGTATTATTTTCTACATTCAGCAACAATTGGTGCTAAAACTGAACAAACTGAAGGTGCTCACGGTAAAGGTTACACTGTGAGTGTGTGTGGGTGTAATTTTATACTCCAGTGGAATGATGCCGCATAGAAATGTAGAATGTTTTAAGCTTAGCATTGAATAAGAAGGAATTTCAGATGGAACGAGACGCACCAACTTGAAATAGAATCCGTGAATCGCAACCTGCAAAGGTTCTAACACAAGTTCACGTGTAGGTGGATTTTTCAGATTCGTGGACATGTTAAGGAATCCGCTCTCAGATAAGAGGGAACCAACGGGAACAAGGGGAACGTCACAAGCGGCGAGGGCTAGAGTTTAAAGGAGAGGAACCAGAAGAAGAAGACGACAAAGACGAAGGGCGAGGTGGGGGGTTTCGGCTAATTGGGTTTTGGTGTTGGCAGATGAGCAGGGAGGAGCGCATTCACCGAATAATTCACCGTCCTCCTCTCGCTTCTCTCGCATTCTTTTCTACGCACCTGGGTTTGAAGGGGCTTTATTTCCACATAGTTTTCTGGGGTCAGTTATCATGGCGTCAAGAGCCTTCAGTCGGTTGGCTTTATTGCGTACACTGGCTGCTTCTTCAAGTAGGGCTCTAATTGTCCCCGCAACCTCAAGTTCCTTGCCGCATCTTGTCCTTTCGAAGTCTACGTGGGAGTACGTCGTCCACCCAATTCTTGGAGTCAAGAGTTTGTGTTTTTCTTTTTTCTTTTTTTTCTTTTCACTTCTGCTTGTGTTTTGGAAGAAATATGGTTTTCTGACCTCGCAGTGCGGTGTATTCCGAGACCTTCTTCATGGGATCGCGTAGTGTTTTTCTTACAGGGAAATCTTCTATCGTATTCCCCTGTATGAAAATTACTACGCGATCGTCATTGGTTTTGGAGTGATATAGTTGCTGGTGCACTTTCGTCACGGTGCGAGGAGGGGAGGTGGCTGACCAGCGCTTAATTTTGTAGGATGGTTAATTTCTTTAGTTAATGAAAATTATTACAGACTTAGCTTCGGTGTGCTAAGTTGCGTAGCTAAAATGCAAAACTTGTTGAACTGTAGTTTCAAATCATCTCTGGGATGTTTCAAAATTACCCCTACATAGAACAGTGTGCCGACTTTGCGGAAATTGTTGTGGAAGGGATCGAGCACATGCAAATTGGATAGATTAACATATTCCCATTGCATGATATTCCGAAACATTTCTATTCAAAAGTTTGATTGTAGCTGATTCCAGAGTACAGCCGTGGGGTGCGGCCTATTATCCGAAAATTACACGATTCTACAGCAGTGTAGGAGGGGACGATGAAGATAAGCGTAAACGAGTTTTAAACAGGTTTTGAACTCCTCTATCTTTTACTTCGAGTGTTTACGAGTAGACAATGCAAACTGGTTTTCTTGAATTACCCTATAAGCACTCTTTTTTACGTTCCTTGTGCTCTCGTCTTCCAAATGCTTTTTTCTGCATCATCATTATTGAGTTATTATCTTCAGATTCAAAATTAACTTATACTTGGCCGAGGTTGGTGTAATTCATTCGATATAGCCCTAGGTGATCCGAAAGAGGTGCATAATGTTTAATATTCTCGTGATGTATAACAAGACTTGCTGCCTAAAACCATCTTACCAGATTGTATGTTTTTGCTGCCCATGCAGAATATTGTATAGGAGCCGGCAGCGTGGCTATTTGGAGCTCGACTTGCTACTTGGAAAGTGGGCAGAAGACAACATCAACAATTTGGACGAAAATCGGTTACAAGAACTTGTTGATTTGCTCGAGGGGGTGAGGATCTGATAAGTTACATGTTTCTAGTCACGTATTAGTGCAGTCAATGTATCCTCTGGCTGATTTAGCTTTCAGAATTCATCCTTTCTATGGATCTTCCCTGTCGCTGATTGTAGGCATGTCGAGTCTTAGGCTTTCAAATGTGAATCTTATACTCAACACGAATAAGGACGATTTTGGTGCTTACGATTATATATCTTTCTGCTTAATGCCTTTTATGTGTTTTGTTTGTAATTTGGAATCGGGACGTGTTGTTCGTCACTCGTGTATTCTTATCCTTGTAAGTGAATTTTGCAGGAGAATCCGGATTTGTGGAACTGGCTTACCGGACAAGCAGAAGTGCCCGCTGCACTTGCCGAGAATTCGGTGAGTTAAACTAACCTTGACAACAGGGACATTTCTATGTTGATGTCTGCTCTGTTTGAGCTTCATGCTTAGTTGTCCATATTGTAGTGTCGAGCTCATGAACAAAACGCTGGTCAGGGCTTCTCAAATTGGTTATGGCACTGCGCACGGACAAATCCACATATGGTTAGTAAGGCTATGTTTTGTGCCGGTTGCAGACACCATTCTATTACAACTAATATTTGACTAACCATTTTCAACAAATGTTTAGCATCGATGGATGACTACCTGGTTTAACATCTTTTGTATGGTGTGTAGGTTTTTGCTGCAATAAAGGGCCAAATCGCAGAAAATCTAAGCACATATTCTTCTCCCCAAACCAGGGCACAACCTGGAAAACCCTGGGTTCGAGGTTGGGATGATAATCGCAAAATTGGAGGTCCTCAGGCCGGGAATCAGTGATATTTTGAAGTAGCAGAGGCTTTGTTTACGTCTGAGGTTCTCAGTCATGTTTGACAGTATATCATGAAAATAAGACGTTGAGTGCTTTGGAGCATTTATATGCCTGCCATACTTTTGAAGGTAGAAGGTCGTTAATTCTGTTTCCCGGTGATTCACATATTTGGAAACAAAGTAAATTCCATTTTTCATGTTCAACAAAATGTTGATAAATACATAATTGTATGTTGTTGTGAATTAGTTGATACAATTTTAAGCCCTATAAGCTTGAAGATGTTGATTACTGTATAATTTATGCTGCTAACAATGTGCTGATGAGGCACAATTATTCCTTAATGTTGAAAAATAATACACTGCGATGTATTTTGAGGTCTTCATTGTGACCTGGGTTTCACTCTTTTGTAATAAATTTTTCTAAAAATATGTAATTAAAGCCTATACAAGTTATACTACATCATATTTAAAAAATCATTTGAAGATTTTACTTTTAAAGTAGTTTTTAGGTCTTTTATAAATAAGCTACTAAGAATATGGCACATTCTCAAAAACAATTGGTAATAATGTCTTTATTTCTTATGTTCTATAAATTAAATTTATGTAGACTTTATTCATTTGTTATAAAATTGTAGAATATTAGCTTAAATCTTTAAACTAATGTAAAATTAATAATTTGATCTTTAGTTGGTATTTGTTAACACCACGTGTCATTGTCTTTGTATCTGCCACCAACTAGATTTGTTATTTCATATCTAACCATATTCAGTACTATATGCAATTATTGAAAAGTTTTTTTCATTAAATTAACTAATTCCAATATCATAAATGAGGTTTATGAAAAGTATAATCTTTAGAGTTTGACTATTACATATATATTAATAAATGAACTTAATAAAAATATATAAAAAATGCATTTATAATAAATTGTAGACCTATGAATGATACATTTGATGCAAACCAAGAATTATGGCAATCTAGGTTTCCAAATATACATTTTTGTCTTAAATTTGGTTAGTCAAAATCTGGATGTTTAATTTTGACACCTATCAAACAGTTCTAAGCAATGCTCTGTTTATTCACCAACTTTCTGAAAAACTATGATAAGTTTGAATATGCATGACTGGTTAATAATTATTATATGAGATAACAATGGGAAAGGTTATAAAATGAAGATTTTTTAAAAATGTGTTCTAGTGCTTGAATGCATCAACTCTATAATGTCTACAATGACTTTCTTCTAGAAATCAAAGTCTATGAGAAAATTGCAAATCATAATCAATTAATCTACAGTATAATTTTTTAAAATTAAATTAAAAGCATATGTCATAACAATAAAAATTTCGGTTTCATATAATAGAAAGCAAGAAGTATAAATAAATATTTTGTTCTGATGTTAACACATCTACTTATATTTGCACTTGCACTGTACCTCTAAAAAACAAACACATAACATATTTCAATCACTTCTCAGAAGTGCTTACAAAAATGAAATGTTGTATCAATTATTCTAGCACATAGATTTGCATGCAAGCATTCAGGTTTGAAAACCACATATTATTGTAAAGATAATAGATCTACAGTAGCACTGTCAATGTTTGGGAATGGAAGAATGGAAATTAATGCCAAGCTTCTTTTATATAACTTTCTGCCTTAACTCCTTTCCCCCTTCAGGATAAAATCCTTCCGGAATGGATGAATCGCAGGTCATGTAGACGGTGGCGAAGAATTGGCTGGGGTTGCGGAAATAGCTGCTGAATCTACGTCGCCCGCGATGACGTTGCCGGTAATCTGCCCTTCGGCTCCTAATTGCTTTGGCACGACAACGCCCTCGTCGACAAACTCATGGCTCAGAGTGTTGCGCAGATTGGAGATGGCCGCAGTGAATTCCGCCGCTGTGATGCCGTAAGGCACAACCTGCTCATTCTTCACGCGTCTTGAGCGGTCTCTATCGATAATAGATGGACTGTGTTTTGTGCATCATATTAAACAAGCCAGACCAGTTATTTGTGAAGTGGTCAGACCTACGTATACAACGTGGACTGCCACTGCAGTAACCGATATCGACACCTGAACACATCCTGATCATTCTTAGATTCAATGGGACACATTCACGTAGAGATAATGTCAAACAGATTTCTCGACATTAGGTGGGCCTCAGTTAGATTTTCAGTAAGAATTCATAATGCAAAATTAACACTCTCTCTAGATGAGGTCAGGATTTCGCTCACCAGTTTGTCTGTGCTGCCGAGGACATCTGCACTTCCACCGGTGTAAGTTGTCATGCCAAGGTAGGAGATGACGTACGCAGAGAGCAGGTAGTTTATGCTGTTGGAATACGGATCTAAAGGTGGATGCAATTTCCTTCCAATAGCCCGATCCATTATCATCGCAAAGTTGTACTTGTCTAAATTTAAGAGAGGGCGAGGAAATGAATACTTTACACCGATTGCGCCTTTGAGTTTCCTGCGTGCCGGAGGGTGGTTAAAACGTTCTCGAATTCTAGTTATTTCAAAGTTATTACATTTTTAACGCATTAAGTGTTCTAAAATGATAAAATTGTTATTCCGCTTAAAATTATTCAATGCCAGCCTCCGCTCTACATGGGCTGAGGAAACTGAGGGATGCACCTGACATGTCTAACTTCTTGCAGGCCAAACTGCATAAAGAGATCCTTGATGTATGGATCCAAGTTGGCCTTCTGTGCACCTAGGGGAGCTAGAACTCTCTCTGGAAGTTCGGGAGCAATCACGTCCAAGCCATAGCCGTATGAGCCCCACAAAAACAAGTCCGCTTCCAGGTAATTCACGATAACCTTTGCATCAGGGAGAGACGAGGCAAGCTCATTTATAAGCTCAATCAAGATTCAGGCTTGCCATAAGGTGAGGCCACGTTTCTAGTGATGCAGATTGCCCTCAGATTTCTGCCTTAAGCAGCGATGTTACCAATTTAATACTTACCTTGTGCACGCATTGATTCCTTATTGGCAGGTTACCATTCAACTGCATGCTTCTGATAGTATATGTATCTTTCCGTGCATACACTATTACGATGATCAAGGAGATTAGGGTTGCTATTAACTGTCAAAGTAGGTTTCTGATTAAGGCTGATCACAAAGTTGCAATAATTCATATTGCGTTCGGATAGTGTGCGGGAAAAAAAATTTCAAGCCATAATAACAAGACGTTGTCCGAGGATAAATACGGACAGCCCATTAATTTCACGAATACTTTCTTAGGTTGCAATTTAAGAGTTTTACGTAGAAAATTTAATCTTTTGCAATTGATGGTTATGTGGTGTTGTTATGAAGGTCTGTTAATATCTCCTGGTCCAAGATGAGTCAGGTGGGGACTACGACTGCCTCGTTGACGTAGGCCAATCAATGTTGAATGGGAGTGGGGCTTTCATACATTTCCACGCAGTATGCTTGGTGAATCCATCGAGACTACCCCATGTGCGGCTGTTGCTGAGAATTGACGTGTTTCTGAAACGTATACAATATCGAAATAATGGAACATGATCTTGGGTCTTTGTAACAATACTCGTCAGAGCAAAATCTGACAAAAGCACCTCCCAAAGAGGCACTACTTTTGAAATAACAAATTTCTATGAAAATAAGAAATCATTTCAGCTGTCTTATCAATGCCATTAATTTGCTCTAGAAATTTATCTAGCTAGCTGTCCCTCATGCAAGCTGTTATGTAAGCATCAGATCATGAATATTCCGGGCGTTTGACAAAGATCAAAGATTCAACCAGGACGAGCCGGGGGGCAGCAGCACAGAATGGAAAGATTTGTTGCCCGATCTTGAGGATAATAGTCATTGTCGGTTCCACAGCACAAAAGAGAGTTCCCAAACAGCTGCAGTCGACTAAATTCCAAAAATATTCGTACCTTTTCTTAAGTTACAGGTCTCGTAAGGCTTAGTGCAAACTCTAATAATCTCTGATAAGCATAAGAAACTCTTGTCCAACTTTACTAGAATATCCATTACGTAATTCTTAAAATAACAAACCAGGCACAGCAGGAAAAACTATTGAATCTTGCTCGTCTCCACTGTTGCTGCGTACACGAAGAATCCCTGCTCAAGAAGTTACAAACTACAAAAACTTGAGTTTCGTCTCTAACTTTGAATAGATTAAGTCGGTAACATTCACATGATGGGTAATCGACGACCTTAATTGATCATCACGTACATATCTGCTGAAGCAGCCACCAATCATGCCTGAAGTGAGAGCACTTGGAGAGTGAAGTTCGAATTAAATGGTACCAGGCGTTCTCTCCAACGTCAGATCGAAATCTGTGCATAGACTATTCTCATGTCGCCTATTACTGTCCAAACCGATTCAAAGCACCTAACAGAAAAGTAGAATATTTTGACATTTGATGATGTCAAGCATCACTACCCTTTCCTCTCGACATCAAATTCATCAGCCAACCATTCAGGTATTGACGTGTGCCAACAGCCTTGGTGCACATGGAAGGGCTTTTGATCAGCCCTTTCGATGAATGTGTTCCTCAAAAGACTCTGGGAACAACTTTATACCGCACCTTCTTGCTGTAGGCTTCCCAGTGCTTGTGGTACTTGACTCTGCAATATTTGTCGTCCCGATTAGCTCGGTCAATCAACAGCGCCGTCAAGAAAGTTACATAGAAGTAAGGCATAGCCTGCACCACCGAAGATACAGTTATAAAAGGATGAGTCCAATCGGAATGTAGATCCAGCATCTCATTACGGTTAGCGGCTAACTACAAATCAAAATTTGAAGTGCACTTACATGTCTAAAGAGAGCTGGTAGGGTCCAAAAGAAGGCAGCACCAATCTCTGGAGCATAATGGATATGCCTTGCAAGGCCCCACCTATAAGTTGTAAAAGAGAATGTCATCTACGTTGCAAAGAGTGTCATCTACTTGAAAACTGGATCAATACAAGAGAGTGCTGGTACTGAATGTAGTGAGACACAAGATTGTGATGAAAACCAGCCAGCAGTAAGAAGCAGACTCTTGCGCTCTCCCCGCTCTGTTTGGTGACGAGCTTGAATCTGAACATCCAAAGACTTGACAATGTCAACGCCTCGTGGAGATTTCAGGAAAAGAAAAGCTCTCGAGAACAATTTCATGATGATGAGCTATTGAATTGAGTTGAGAGAAATGAGGAACCAAACGCATACAAAAACATTCAGTAAATAATCAAATTCATCAAGTGGTACTACATGAAAGTTCTCATGATGTGTATGAAGGATCAGTAGCAAGTTGACCTTGGTGGGAATCCTCCCCCAGATTTGGCATTTCCCATGAGAGTTCCGGAACAGTTGGCGTTGTCGATCACAGTCCCAAACTACATAAATGCAAAGCATTCCAAGAAGAAATATTGTCGATGCCATCTGCAACCCAGTTATTTTAGGCATTGATTCATCAATTTCTTTAGAATTTCAATTGGTTTTGATTCATAGAGTATCACGTGCTTGAGAGATGTCAAGCTACGGCTGATATTCCTTAAAGATTATGGACCGTAAGTAGTGACAATTGTTTGTTTGAAGTCAGGTGAAAAATGAGTACCCTTCTGCCGAGCTGAATTGGATGTGTCACCAAGTACAAGTTGACCGATGAATTCACCACAGGAATCCATGTCACACAGGTATAGGTCATAAACCACCCAGCTGCAGCCCTCATCCCAAAAACAGTTAGCTAAGTTGAAACTATATTATACAATACTTTGAGAGTTTGTTTAGATTCAGCCGAAGTATTGCAGTCCAACTTCTACGCAAATTGTCTATTACGCCGGATAGATATAACAAACCTTTGAGTTGCTGAGGGAAAATAAAAAACTAAATTGCTGAACTATTCTCACATAGAAAATGGAATAGCGAAGAGCATGGACCTCTATCATGAGCAATATCCATGGAACACCCGAAGGCTGCCTCCATCCAGAAAAACTTCGCGATGTACATAAGCATGAGTAAGCTACTAACCATTAGAGAGTCTGAAACTCTGCCTTGGACTTCATACTGGCCAACACGCACGCATCAAGGTATAAATGTAATGAATATGTAGTCTCAAATTTAAAACCCAAGCCACTTGCAAGATTAGGGACATGAGGAAAGAAAAGGAATGTAGGGGACTTACTTGCTTGATAGCAAAGCTGATTACAAGAATGGCCCAGCCCATTATTCCAAGGCGATAATTCATGAAAACTTTGATGTCAAATACACTTGATAATCTTGGGCACAACTCCATTCCCTAAGAAATCATGATGAATGCATTGATAAGTCGTTTATCATTTACCAATAAAATGCTTATCCGAGACAACTGTTAATAAACTTAGTCAATTGATGCTGTGAGGATCAGTTAAGGTATCTCTTACCCAAAAGAAATCCCCAAGGACATTGCCAGATGACCCCCAGTCAGAGGAACAAGGTGCCATGTGACCCTGTCAAATCCCACGCACGCTATCAGAACATAATGAACCTAGTTTCCCCAATCAAAACCACAGGTTACAAAATAAACTAATGCAAGGTTACTGAATTCTGAGCAAGAGATAACTCGCAAGAGTTAGTTGATGGCTTTGGTTTTCTTAAGTTCACGACAAGAAAACCAAACTTACTTTCACATAGAGCAATGTAGTAGTGATGTAAGTTGCACAAATGAGCACAGAGTATATTTCTCCAATTATATCGTAAACCATGGCTGGATTGAACAGTCTCTCCCTGATCCAGATTTAATTGTTAGTGGTAGCATTGCTAGTGCAGGTTATTGACAATCAAGGAGGTGTATTCAATGCTATTGAAAAGCATTCATGAATGTACGGCCGACAACATAAATTTGTAGAGTAGCACTGGATCAATTCATGCAAAATACTCAACATTCAAAACTTTTATCAAAGCCAATTTTTCAAAATCGTTTGTATTTAAAAAGCCTGCAAGGTTAGCTAGGAGATAAGTATGTACCTCCACAGAAGGTAGTAAACACCTAGAGTGATCAGAAAGCAGGGAATTCCATTTCTCTGCACCCAAGGACGAAGAAGGTGATTGATATGCTCAGAATAGCGTTTTTATATTCTTTTTGTACATTGATTCGTTCACTAACATTTCCCAAGTCCATCAAGACTTCACAAGAAATAAAAAGTTCGAGGTAGAGGAAGAAACCGTGTAAAGGGGTCGATTTCCTACAGGCGTTGAAGGACCCATGACCCGCTCCCCTGGTAAAAGGGCCTGTAAAATAGCTTCAAACAAAACAAAAGCTCCAACCAGCTTACAAGCGCGTTGTGAGGGGAATGGCCAAACATCCTTGATGCCACGAATTCCAAACTGGAAAAAATGCCTACATGCTTTCTCAACCGATCCATCCGCTCTCACCATCGTGTACCACCTGCACACGTAAAAACTTCAATAAGTTTCACACAAAATATCGCCCGGTTACAAGCTTGTCAATCTCCTATTGGACGGATAGAATGACACAAGTTCGTATAAACAATTGATGATGTGCTACTTAAGAATCCATTGGAATGGAAAGTGCTTTTAATTGAAAGATAAAAAGCTTGTGCAGATAATTTTAACAGTTAAATCTGTGGTAAAGATCACTGCTGCACTAGGCGCCTGCACTGTGGATATGAATTGACATTATTGTCAAACCTCAATTAAATTCATGTCGACAATGATAACGAGAGGCGATGATAGAAGATTATGGCTTCTTCGGATGCGTCACGGATCAGAGCAAACTCGATGAGATACTCGATGAAAGAAATCAATAGGTATTTTGTTTCAAAGGTCGCTGTCATTCAAAGGTCGCTGCTGATACATATCGATGTCTTAGCATCTTACGAAAGAGTGGCAAGGAGGGTAGCAGAGGGACTTGCATGAAAACAATGAAGAATGGAGAACATATCATCATCGCCAGCATGGAGACTATCTTGACCGCCTTCGAGGAACTGAGATACGAACTCTGGTCGAAGCGATCATGGTGCTTCGGATTTCGGCTCCCTGACCTTTTAGAGGACTGTGTTCTCTTTCTTCTTGGTTCGAGCGTTCTCTCCAAAGCTCGTCCCCTAGCCTTCACCGGCTTAATCATCACGGATTTCATATCGAGTCTGCAACTCTACGTCGGAACTCCAACCTAGTCTGATCCCGCTACCTGATCATCCTTCTTTGTCGATGGGAAACTTCGGCAGTATCCATGCTCGTGCCAGTTTCACAAAACCCCTTAACCGCATCTCTGACGGTGCCGTCAGCTCTTAAAGGCTATGCAGACGATGTAGTAATGCTTTTGGGAGTTTCCGTCGTGCTCCTCAAGGTTCACCATTCTGCTCAATTCTACACGCACTTCTGCCACATAACTGCCATATATTCCGCCTACACAAATTGTCCGTGGTGACTTCATCGTTTTGCCTCACATTTTGTGCACATAACATGGGATGGCGGAATGCAAGCGTCGAGCAGATACATGATGCATCCAGCATGATGATTACTGGGACGACCCCGTGAAGTCCAGCGATGGCGGAAGACGGCAGTGCCTCGCTGGGGTTGATAACCGAGTTCCTGCTGCTCTGCCCTCTTCAATGACGACGTTCTGGATCTTGTTTCGAAGAGTGACACCCTGCCTTGGCACTCTAAAAACTCGCCTAAGTAGACCTCGCAAACCCCCTATTCTGTTCATACACGCACATTTCCAACCAGAACCCACACCATCACAGCTCCCCCCACACGTGTAGATGCATGAATGACGCCATGCGGGCCCTCAGAAATGCCACCGCCCGAACACCCTCCAGCCCCGACCTCCCCTCTGCTGTCAGTTGTACACTCTCCATGTACGATGCTAGGTCACCCTTGGTGCCCCGAACAACCCCACATTCCAGCGCTTCTCGTGACCCCCACGCCCATTTCCACCATCACCGCTCACAATCTGCAGCTTCCACCCCATATTCGCGCTCAAAATCTCTCTCACTGGTACCTGCTACTCCGCTTCACATAACCTTTATGATGAACACGGACAAGATAAACCACATTCGCGTTTACGCTCGGTTGTGACCACCCGAATTGACACCTGATTACAATCCTCCAAGAGCACAGCTGCTACAAGCACCAAATTCTCATTCAAGTGGGCAAGGCCAACAAATCATAAGTTAAAGTACAAAACAAACACACAAGCCCAGGAACCACGTCTCAAAACACCACCAGCATCAAGGAATGGACAACCGTGAAGAACAGTGTGCGGTTACGACGGTCCTCAGCTGTTCCCGATCTTCAATGCAGCTCGCGCTTTGATTACTGGGGAATGAATCATCACGAAGCAAGCCAGCAGAAATGGTGAGAAGCTTGGGTAGTTAGTAAGTGCAAGAGTGATCAGCTTGCTATCCGGTGGAGGTTGGAGCTCGGAAGCGACAAGGTGGCAGCAACCAGCCAAGTCACAACAGATCACATGTGTGGGAATGGGGTGGGAGTGTGTTTTAATGTATGTATGTATGTTTTTTTTGGGGGGGGGGGGGGGGGAGGAGGAGGGAGTCCAGTTTTTTTCTCATTGGACGGCTGAGGGGGCCAAGATTGAGTGCACCGTGTTCCCATGGGGCATTTCAAGTTTGCCTTGCAATATATTCTAATTAATCACTAACTATAACTATACCTATATATATATATATATATCATTCTTTGACAACATTAGTAAGATGTTGAGGTCACAAAAAGGGGTGGTTGTGATCAAGATAATTAAGTGGATTATGAATGGAAAATTTGAGGTGACGTACAAAATAGACATTATTATGATTTGGTGTAGAGATTCAAGCAAATATGAATATAATATTTTTATTGTGTCTTATTTTAAAGTATCGATTTTTTAATTTTATTCTAATTCTAAAAATATATATTTGAATTTAATGAGTTCATAAGAAAAAGTTGTTATAGCAAGGGTCTTTTTACTAATAACTTTAGTGTATTACGTTATTAAGAAAATTTTGCACAAATAAAAATAATAAATACCTCATGGTCTAATTATTTATAAGTGATGTTGATAAAAGATTATTTTGGTACATCAATTATATATTATGACTTAAAATTTAAAAATAATATAAAGTAGTAAAATTATTTAAAACAATGATTACATAAAAGATAACAATTTAGTAAATTTAGGTCGTAAAATATATCATCATATACATAAAAATAACCAAACATTCTATAAATTTTAAAAAAATTTAAAAAATTTAGAAAAAAAATAAAGATATGAAAGAATATAAATTTATTTAGAAGATTATTAAAGGCTATTAGAATCTTCTAGATAATTATAGGAGGTTTTAGAAGAATATAAAATACTTTAAAGGTTTAAAAGAAGAAATAATAACATCTCAAGATTTTTAGAATGTTTTAAAAATTTCTAAAAAATTACATAATTATAAAAATATTTAATCTTCTATTTAAAAAATTATTAAAAAAATCTATTCTTTACTTCTTTATAGATTTAAAAATAATCATAATTTATTAAAGATACTTAAGATATATGTCATACTTTAATTTCTACTTAATAGATAAATAGATTATATAAATCATAAACATCAGCAAAGATTTTTTGATATTAGTGTATTTAATATAATGATTTGATTTAACATGATTGATTAATTTTATCTATGATAAAAAATAAAAAAGATATTTTATATTATTCTCAAAGGTGTGAATCATAAACAATAAATATTTCAATACACTCTTGTATAATTTAAGAGAATAGATGTATATTAAAAAATAATATAATATTAAAACAATAATGGTTATTGCTAAAGATAAAAAGACTAGAAACTCTTGAAGCAAGACTAAGAATAAAAAAGGCATTATAAAAAGTGAAGAAGATTTCACTTTTGCTTCCATATATACTATCTAATTTAGCAAAGAATAGCCTCTAAGTTGAATTTGTTATTTTATTTTATTTTATTTTATTTTTTTCCTTTAGTACTATAAATATAGAAAAAACTAACAAAGATAAAAGATAATATGTAATCTTTATTAAATCTTTATTGTTTCTTATGTAGCAAAGAATTGCTATACTTTTAATAGATATTATTAAAAAAAATCATCAACCTTCTTGGCTACATTTCTAAGATTTTTAATTAGCTTTTACGCATGTTCATTAATATTATATCCACACTAATATATAAGATATTCCAACATATTTTGGCTTTGCCTTGAGTCTAAGTCTTCTTTGACTTCAAACTCTTGATTATTATTTATTTCTATTGGAAAAGATGGCATTTGACTTCTTCTTGGTATATCTACTATTTTATATGGCTCAAAAAAGAATACATGGAACATGGAATGGATCTTCATAAATTTTAATAGGTATAATCAATAAATGACTAGATTAATTTATTGATAAATAGGAAATGGTTCAAATCTATAATAATCCAACTTATCACGTGATGACTAATTATAATATTATAATGAAATAACCATACTTTATTGTCTACATGGAATTAAAGTTATTTCTTATAATAGATATCTAAAATAATATTTTTTATTTCTAAGCTATATATATATATATATATATATATATTAAAAGATAAAAATATGAATTCTATTATAGAAGATCTTAATTAAAAAATATGATAAATATATGGATATAAGATAGAAAAGTAGAAAACATTTTAATGTTAATATTATGTCTTTGTAAAAAAAAATTCTATTTATATTATACAACTATAAATAAAAAAATAGATTAAAAAAATAAATAATATGTATATTTTAAGAAAGAATTTTAGAATAGTTTGCAGCAAAAGTTATCTTAAAAAATCAAGAATTGATACTTAGAGAAGATTGGTTGTGAACTAAGATTAAAATCAAATCTTGAGGCACAACATGTGAGTCCCACAAATTGATCATAATTGGTGGATTAAATAAAATATAGTTTAAGTTATTTAATTATATAAATATTAAGATTAGAGAGTCTTTTTGACTTTTCAAGTATTATAATTTATTATAATTTAGAAGTATTTATAATTTGTAAAAGTCTTATTAGAAGGAAAGTTATAAAAATGGAGTCTTAGTAAGTCTTGGAGGCAATTATCTTAGTTAGTTTAGTATTTTTTTTTATTGTTAAGCATTAATAGTTAATTATTGAGATCAATGTCTCCATTGGCTTCCTATCTACACGTATTACTTATAAAATCCTATCAATGATTAGTTAGTAGTTAGAAGAAGCATAAAAAAGAACTTTATGTCTTTTTAGTTAATTATATAAAAAATAAGATTTTTAGTAGATTTAAATTGATTTTATTATTATAAAAAAATCACTAAGATAGAAAATATAGCTTTATATGGATATTAGTATTATAGAAATATTATAGGATTTATTTAGAATTTATTTAGAATTTATTTAGAATTTTTTATGAATTTTTAGAGAAAATTTCAAGACTTTTGTAAAATTTAGTTTTACCACCTTGAGAGCCATTATGAAGAAATGAAGCAAGATTTGATGACCATACAAGGTTTCTAGGCTAATTGGGTGTTTCTTAACACCATATAAAAGTCAAAAATGCAAAAAAAATAGTTTTACTAGTAGAGAATAGGAGGACCAGCAGCTAGTATAGTCCTTGTAGGAAGAGAGGTGCACAATTCTCATATGGGTTGTAGCACCTTGAAGATAAGACTAAGGCCTTGTGGCCTCTCTTGACAATCTATATACACTACTTGTGAGCCTTAGTGAGGCTCAAACTCCTGATTTCTTAAGCAAGTTATTTTTGAGGTAAAAATTATTCACTTAACTTTTTTATTATCTAAATTGTATCTTTAATTTATCATAACTTACTCATAGTAACTTGGAATTACATGATTTTTATGTCATTGGAAAGATAAAAAAATTATCTATCTAAAAGTAATGAATATTCCAAATCCAACCAATAATAATACTTTATACCTCAATTACAACTTAAGCAGCACTTTTAATATCCCAATAGATTATTTGATTTTGAAATTATATCTTTGTCTAAAAGTAAACAAGAAAACATGCTTGAGGAGATCTTTACAAATTGCAAAGCATTTGTCTATAAGAGTTTACAGTATTAAAAGAAGCTACAAAGAGTGATGAACTTGGTTGCAAGTACAATGATTAAAGCTAAAAGATGCAAAAGATGGCACATATGTGAGTTACCTCATGAAAAGAGGTTCTAAGGGAGGAAGGGACTCACCTCTCTCTTCTCTCTTCTCTCTAATGCTGAGAGCCATGAGCCATAGGACACACACGCTAAACCCTAAACCAACGAGATAGAGAACTGAACCTCCACGTGGCGACTATCGGATCGAAGAGTATGCATGGGCAAAGAATGACATGCCACGTGTAAATCAGGGAAGTGACAAACGGAGTCACGCGAATATGTCGTAGTGTGCAACTTCGAGCCCCTTTCCTGGAAGCGCTTCTGTGCCTCCTGCTGCTGGGATCGGCACAGTCCAAACACGGACAGTGGGAGGGAGGAACCAGTTTTGCCATGTCATCACAGGTTCGCCGCCAGCTAGGCTCCAACCCCTGCAAGCGCCGCCACGTAACCGCGTGTCGAGTTCCGTGCCAAGTAGGAATGAATGAATTGGGACGACGAAAGAGAAACGTGGGACGGAGTGACGGAGGAACCGGCCATGGAGGGGGCTGGCTATTGTTGAGATTGTAGGGGTGTAGGGTGTAATAGTAGCAGGGGGATGTGGGGGAATCATCGGGGATGTGCGATATGGAAAGGCTCCGTTGCATGGAAGGGAGCACAACTGACACTCGTCTGTCTGACTGGAGTGGTTGCCTCGGCCGTGTCGCTGGTGTTCCACTTCTGTTCCTACCACTGAGTGCCCCTCAACAACAGCTCCTTCCAGTGGCACTCTCTCTCACTGCGTAGAGTCTAGATTACCCCCTCCCCCAAGCATTGATTGATTTCGTGTTCTCTCCATTGCTCCTTATTCAATTTGTTGAACGCTGCGCCGTCTGTGTGCTGTTCCTTCCTGAGTTCCAGTGGGCGTTCGATCCCACAATGAGTATCGTAGCTCATGGCATGGCGACCATTGGGGGCGATTTGGTTGCTGCTGGAGCTGCTGCTGCTCATGGGGGATGGGTTCCGCGTATGACTGGGTCGAGATCCTGCGACGGATGGCGAGGACGGGTGTTTCTGTCGGGTGGTGGTGTATGGAGGAGCGACTGTGGGGATGTCGGGAGAGGGGTGGCTGCCAGGGGGAGTGGGAGGGGTAGATGGACGTCGGTGGTGATTGCTGGGAGGCAGTTAGGGAGAGGAGAAGGGAAGACGAGCTCGATGGTTGCGTCGGCGTCAGTGATGGAGGGAAGAGTCGTGGTTAAGGATGCGCGGATTGATAACGAGCTGCAGAGGGACAGTTTTCAGCTTGAGACATATTTGGCGCCATTGAAATCGGGAAGGCTTATTGACAATCTTCTATACAGAGAGAAGTTTGCGATTCGGTGCTACGAGGTTGGGACGAATCGCGCTGCTTCGATGGAGACGATTGCGAATCTCTTGCAGGCTTGTGTGCTTTCTCTTACACTTTGTTATTGAAGATTTTGTCAACTTTGCGAGAAAATTCGAGTTTGTCAAATGACAGCAATCAGAACATTGTGAGCGTAGAGCTGGTTCCGTTGTTGTCTTGAATTTAGAAGGTTGAATTTTGGTTTTGGAACTATTAGGTCCACTTGAAAAGCCCCGCGGGTTTTAGGGGCTATGATGTCACGGCGCCTCTCATAGATGAGGTGGTGTATGCAGGAAGTAGCATGTAATCATGCTCAAAGCGTGGGGTTTTCAACAGACGGTTTTGCCACTACTCCGATCATGAGACAGAAGCACCTCATTTGGGTCACAACTCGCATGCACATTCAGATGCAGGAATACCCTATCTGGTAAGCACTTGGTTTTATGACTCTTTTCTTTTCGTCTTCTCCTTGGTAGATTACGATGAAGGAGAGTCAGAAAACTTCCAGCTCGCTTTCAGATGCTTCTCAAACTTGAACAGTAATGTGGCTCTCAACCTTGTGCAGGGGCGATGTTGTTGAAATTGACACCTGGTATCAAGGAGAGGGTCGGATTGAAACTCGTCGGGATTGGATCATAAGGAATGACAAAACGGGTGATATAATTGGAAGAGCGACGAGGTAATTGCTTCTATTAACATCAATGTGTTGCGTTGCGGGTACCTGTCCATTAATATTCGGGACGATTGTCTGAAATCTGGTAGGAATGTGCATATGGTGACAGAGTGAATCCTCAATGCTAACTAATTGAAAGGGTTTTATGCATGAATGCAGCACTTGGGTAATGATGAATATGGATACTAGGAGGTTGTCAAGGATTCCTGATGATGTGAGGCAAGAGTACATGCCATTTGTGCCTGTTCCACCAAGGTGCCAGCCTCACTCATCTTCTGATATCTGCAACTGTCATTGTTCATGATGATAGTGCGATGTGACATGAGCCAGCCTAGTTTATATTTAGCAGGAGCATTTCACAAGCTTAAATGGTCTTTGTCCTTCAGGTGGGCTTTTGATCCTAAAGAGGAGAAGAACAGCAGCATCAAGAAGATCGGGAGGCCAGGTGTAGCCCAGTTTGAGTGCTCCAATCTGATGGTCAGTATCTCGTACTTTTGCCATTTTTTCAGAGAGCATCTTTGATCCAACGTGTTGACGGCTTTGAATTAAAAATATCCGTGTGCGGGTTTTGAAGAGCTTTCGTAGACGTTTTACTACTTCATGCTGGGATCGCTTTGTGAGATGTTCTAAACAGTTGCTAAACGATAATGATTTAAAGATCAACTATTAATTTTCGACGTTGCTCGTGGCAGCCAAGACGGAATGACTTGGACATGAATCAACATGTGAATAATGTAACGTATGTATGTTGGATGCTTGAGGTGCGTAGTTTTCTCTCCTGCTCCACAAACTCCCTACACCAACATAAATTGTAACCTTGTTATCTACACATTTTCTCATTTTCCACCTGCACTTCGTAGGTGATGATGAAGCAACTCTGCTTTGTGGCCCATGATGCCACGCGTGATTTTTTGTTTTGAGTTGTGTTTCTTTCTCTTTTTTTTCATACAGGCAATCCCACCAGAAGTTCCAAATAATTATGAATTGACTCAGATTACACTTGACTACAAGCGTGAATGCAAGTCAGATGACATTGTTGAATCTTTGGTCATACCTGAAAACACAGTGACCGGGGAAACCATTTCCTGGCTCTTGGAATCCAAATGTGCAACTGGCACCAGTAACGGTTCATATAACTCCGTCGGAAGCAATGGCAACTACTCGCCAGAACCTAAGCATTCGACGCTACTTTTCGTACATGTTTTAAGACTGACGAATGAAGGGAAAGAGATCAACCGAGGCAGGACTGAGTGGAGAAGAAAATCTAACCCACGAGGAAGCCACTAAAGCACCTTGAAAAGAAAGTGCACAGGTCTTGTACAGCTGTATATAAATATCTATTTAACTTGGAGGGACGCTTGAGCAGCAGTTTTTCCTGCAACCAAATTTTTACTGGCTGATCGGTGACCGGCAAGGAGGTCACCGTTGAGGCTTCAGATGGTTGTAGAACAATTCTGACACTTTTTTCGGTTAGTTCGGGTTTGGCACCAAATGCTGGAGCTTTTTGCCAAGCATTGAAGAAGTGGCTCAATCTGTACGATTCAAACACCGCGCTTCCCCAATGGTTACCTATTTTAATATTTGGTATTACGATGTGAATTCATTTTTGACCTTAAGCCACAGAGCCAGCAGCGTTCATTGTCAAGCATTCTGGTTGATAAAGATACTGATAATCCAGATTGAAAGCATGTTGTAGCTGCTAAGTACTGGTGTCGATTGCCTTTGCATTCGTCCCCCACGTGCGAGCCCAAAAATTATACGCAGTAGGCCTAGCCTGCAGTAGAGCTCAAGAGTGACTGCAAGAGGAGTGTTCGTATTCAGTGTTCTGTAAATTAATTTTGTGTCTTTGTGCGCTTCAATGCACAACATATACTTGTCTAAGCTTCAAATTGTGTGACTGATTGAATCTCACATGCCTTTCAAGGTGCTGATACTTCTACTTCCCTATCTAACTAGATCTTGGTGAGTGATGAATGACTTATTTGGATCAATCTCACAGACTGCTTTTCTGCTGCGCCTTACTGGGCAGCAAGTTGGAAGGTGGTCTGTAAAATATTATGAGATGCTTTCTCGTAATGCACAAAAAGTGCATGCTTTCATTGAGCACAAATAGGATAATGCTTGTGTTCATTTGAGTATTAGTAAGAAAGTGATCCATCCCTTGAACCAAATGCATTAGTTGCAACCTGAATCAGAATCTAAGTTAATTTTTCGTCCACACTCAAAAACTCAAAATGACTTCAGCCATAGCCTTGTTTCTGGTTCAAAGTGGCCACCCCTTGTATATGTACACAGTGAAGTGAAAGGAGACAATGTTGGCTGCTGTGAAGACTGGTCTAAACTGCACAAACTGTGACCACTGGATTGCTATATCCCAATGGACAAGACTAAAGGCCTAAAATAGTTTTCCCAACAAAGTATCTAGTCCATGGGCAATTTGGCAATTGGTGACACTCTATGATTATGGGTCACAACACTCACCAACTTCTACATTTGTGATGTCCTGGTGTAATATTTGGGAGTCTTGGAAAGAGATTAGGACACAGCAGTACACACGCTCTATAAATGAGGACCCTATAAATGAGATCTGATAAATGGAAAATCACCAGAAGTTGAACAGTCTCTTCCCCTCTCCCCATGTGACCACCACCCAGCCATGATGATGAAAGCTCCATCCTCCACACTCATGTAGGACACCATAACCAAACTATGGCTCAGGCAGAGAGTTTGCACAATCCTTCTTATTCGTTTATTTGTTATCATTACAAGTAATTATTTTCAAATGGAGAAAGCTTCCAAGATTCCTCATCTCATGTGTGGAGTTGCTTGTGCTGCTGCTGCTGAGGAAGAGCAAGAATTCGGAGGCAAGTGTGGGCAATGATCACAAACTTGTTGCATCTGATCAAGGGGCACCTGCAGGGAGGGGGGGGGGTGTGTGTCAGGCTGAAGGAGAATCAATGGCAGCTCTGTAGTACACTCTGTGAAGTGTTATGAATGAATGAATGAATAAATAAATGTGCAATTTTCTCAGTTTCTGTTTACACACATATGCATATCTTATTTTCTCTCCATTGCTTGCTTAAACACACACACACTAAGCATGGGTCATTCTTCAATTCAATTGAATGGTAGGAAGAGAGAGAGAGAGAGAAAGCAAAGCATTCTCTTCCTTTCAGGGGGGAAAGTGAGAATCACGCCTGTTGGTTCCACTGAATCACTGCTAACTACTAACTATATGTCTATGCATGACCTACAACCGCATGCATGCATCCTCCTCCTCTTCCTCTTCCTCTTCCCCACTCCTACCAACACATCACCACACAGATGTTGGCTCATTTCCAATCCAAAACCCTTTAAAGCAGGGTAGAGTACCTGCTTTTCCAAGTACAGGAGATCAAAATGGGGAGAGATGGACAGTGTGGGTGGGGTATGAGATGTGGCAATGCTACCATTAAAAAGGAGAGATAAAGCAAGCAGCAAAGCAGAGGAGAAAACAGGTAAAAGGGAAAAGGAGGGAGAGGAGAGGAAGAGTTCATGGAGATGCTCTTGGCATCTAGCTCTCTCACTCTTTCTCTTGGGGCTGTTGTTTGTTGGCTTTTTCCATAAGATGATGGGGGCAGATAACAAAGAAAGTAGTAGAAGAAGCAGGAAGAATCATATGAGTGAATCTCTGGTGGGGGGAGTAAATAATAAATGGTATAAAGAGAGAGTTCAACCCACAGATGGTTTCCAACCCAACAACGTGCCCCCCTCTATTCCTGCTACTGCTCCACCACCACAATTCGGATGAATGTTGGAAGGATGTATAGATGGATGTCAGATCATGTCCTCTTGGTCCTTTCTGCTCACCCACTCATTCAGCATGATTGCTCATCCTAATAAATATATCCCCACCTTTACTTATCATGAACCCATTGCACTCCAAAATTTAGGGTTTCATCCACCATGTGGGAGTAAATTGTAATGAAAGCATGTTCTGGGTAAATGTTTGTACACATACATGTATGTGTACAAAACAATTTAAGGTATTTGTGATGGTATTACTCACGTTGCATTGTATTTTGATTTTCTCATGAATATTGTAAAATTTTAATAATAATTTAAATATCAAACATATTTTATGTTATCAAGAAAAAACTGTTTTGTTATTCTTATTTATTGTTGACTAATTCAGATTTAAAAATAAGACATAAAAAATATAAATTATATATCTTGATGCATCAAAGATAACATTGGTTACAGTTGAGTCATTTTAATGATAAAGATCCAGTCTATATAATAGCATCTTCCATTATGTTATTAAACACCACTATATGTAAATATATACAGTAATCACATAACAAGAATATGAAACAATATTTTGTAATATGAGGAAGATTTGGTATAGAATTTCAATGAATAAAGTAACTACTTTCGTAGACAAATAATCTGTTAATATAAAATAAAGTAATAAACAACTTAGCAAGTTTAATGTCATGTTTTATTTACCTTCATTGTAAAATATAACATTGACCTAATAAACAACACAAGTCAAATCATTTTTTATAATTGTTAATTCCAATAGATGCTAATACAATAGAGAGTTGCTAGGTGGACATCTCTCTTTTCTTTTTACTGCATAAGCACCCTTCATGCCACAGACCCTTGCATACTTACAATAAAATCATTCCTCCTTGAATATGTTATGATCATTATATTGTTACTATTAAGAAGGATAATGAAAAAAAATCAAAAAATCAAAAAATCAAAAATAAATGGATGTCATTTTATATTTTTCTTAAATGATTGACATCAATTACCAAAAATATCATTTAATTTAATTGAAATCAAAAACTTTGCATACTATTTTAGAGAAATCTAACTTTATATATATATATATATATATGTAGAGAGAGAGAGATATATATATATATATATATATATATATAACATTTTTTAGTAATTGTATAAACATACAATCCAATCTTCAAATAGATTTTAAAATACCATTTAATAATATATTATTGGAGATAGAATTAAATAGATTTTAGTATTTAAAATACCAATCAAAACAACTGTAGAATCAAATGAAGAACAAAAACTCATTGCTTTTTGTATAGAAGGAAATTATACCTTAAGAAAGTGTATATCATTTATAATTACACATTATTTTTTTTAAAAGATATAATTTGTACATTATATAGTTATATATATTTGGCAATAACAAAGATTAAGGTTAAACCATTTTATTGTTAAATAATTCAAATTAAATTTTAATTTTATTAATTTATAAATTTGTAAAACTAAATAATGTAAATTTAAATTATTTATTTATTATTCTTATTCATAAAAATATTTATACAATAATTGAGTTATTGATAAATTTTTATTCCTACAACAATCAGATATAAAAGTGCCATCTTTATACCTAATTCATATTAAATTTCATATCAATTTTGCAAAATTTGTTCCCAGTTTAGTTTCTTTAATATAAAGATTTATTTTTTAAAACGTTTACATATTTTATATTGAATTTTTTTATATACATAAAATTCAATTTTATCTATTTGTAGTATATTTAGTCTTATTCATATTAAAAAAAATTATAAACCTAGTATTTTTCTGGTTTATATTATTTCTTAAAATAATTACATATTCTACATGTATTTTCACAAAACATGTCTCTTAGCCAATTTTTTTCAAAAATAATTCACTCATAAAGTCAAAATTTATTATAGTAATTATTTTACGATTGTAATTATTTTTAATAGAATATATTTTATAGTGCATTGATTTAAATTATATATATATATATATATATATATATATGTATGTATATATTCAATATTTCCTGAAAGACATCATTTATTTTAAGATTAAATTCAATGGAATCACTAGAGAGAAAAAAATAATTAAATTCAAATAATTTAAAAGCTGGCACATGTAAAAGGATGAGAAATTTTGTTATAGGTGAATTTAGGACTTTTAGTTGTATTTTAATATGAACCTAACTTATAATAGTTATAAAAACTATATTTTTGAAGAAATAATATTGAAACTTCAGAATACAATATAAAGAAACAGAAATCTAGAAACATGTTAGAAAAAACTAGAAATAATATTAAACAATTTTTAAAGTTATTGGTTTATGAAATATGTGTATATACATATATATATATATATATATATATATACATAATTTCATAAAAATATTAAAGTATTTGTTAGATATCTAAAGAATATTAAGACCTAGTTTTTTGTTATCTTGAATATTTATGTTTAATAATTTATTTGAGCATTTGCTTTAAGAACTATTATTTTATACAATCAAACATTATCGAAATTTATCTTTATATATAGGTTGTTATTTTAAATATTCATGTTTAATAATTCATTGAGCATTGCCTTCAGAATCATTATTATATACAATCAAACCTCTGTACTTCTTCTTTTTTATTGCTATTTATCTTCATACATAGGTTGTAACTATTATATGCTGATTTCTGTTTTAAGATATTTGTGTTGGTTCAATGATTGGATAAGTACATAATTGTTTTCTACAATGTATTCAACCATATGTTTTATGAGTTTTTTATTTAAATAATTTACAACCTCTAAAAACAAAGATTTGACTTTATGTGCAAAGACTTTTAAAGATGATTTTGTACCAAATAATGTTTTAATGTAGGTATCATGAAAACAAAAGCAAATTGAGATGCCATTGAAAAAAGAAAAAAGAATGGAAAAAGACAAAACATAAAAATAATCTAAAAAAATCTATAAATTCAAGAATATAAAACTTTTTATGTTTTTATTTCATTTTAAAGATTTTTTTTATTACAATAAGAAAATTATAGCATATTGAGCTAAGTCGTTGGATATATTTTTTGACACCTAACAAAATTTAAGTGCAATATCAAATACTATGCAAG